AGAAATAACAGAATACAACTTCCCAATGCGTGACACCAGTAAATAACTTGATCAATGATACAATAAAGGCATGAGAACTCATCGCAAAATAAAAATTGATAGACACTGACTTGAACCTGCTTTCTATCATCAAATATCTATTGAAAACTATTGTCCATTATAAACTGTACATCAAGACTAATGTAAATCCAACAGATGGTTTGCTCGTTCAAATGTTTGCAATGAGTGACCACGTGTTTGTGGGAGTGTGACAGTTTATGCTACTCTGGGTGATACCACTTGTTGTAAATACTGCCCTTAACCATGACAATTATCATGGAAACACGGGAAAAGGCAAACAATGGACCATCCCTATGGCATTAACTCAGCTGACGAGCTGTTTGTGGACTTGTGTTTGCTTATTAATTAACCTACATGTACATGCACAGAGCTCTGTCATAACCCAACGGCCATCTCAAACTTCCAGGAGTCAATTACATGTATCAAGGAGGTTTTCAGTTGCGTATTTCATTTCAAAGTGACTGAAACTGCAGGCCATAAGAGATGATTCTGAGGTGGATGCAAATTGGTATGTGTATGGTTTAATTTAATTCATTAATCTTGTTGTTTGCTAACATGATCTGACATTAAACTATTCTTGTGGCATCACACTATTGTTGTAAGTGTGGATTGTTATCACTACAGTTTACTGCAGATTCATCACTACAGTTTACTGCAGATTCATGGCAAATCTACAGCAAACTGTAGATTCATAACGAACCACAGATACCCCATGGATTCCAGATTTTTGTAAATTTATGATTATTGCACTGAGGAAATGAGGTCAAAATGGAAAACACCCCCCCAAAAAAAAAATTGTTGCAAATTAGTACAAGCTAGAAGATTTGAAGGTATTTTGTGTCAAGAAAATGTTGCTATGAAGACATGACTTGACTTGCTTTTGGTAGTGAGACATTAACCTAACTATACTGACGCCTTCCATTCACTGTTCATTGACTAAATGTGTACCCGTGAGTAAGTTTACGAATTTACACTCATTCAAAAACACGGAGAGTGGGGTGATGCATGGGACTCATTTGAATAAACCTTTGTTATTTTGAGAGAAAAAAAACTGCGTAAGTCAGTACTTTCCTCGCCTTCCACCACTGTGACCCGGGTTCGAATTCTGCCTGGGTCAGTATGTGGAGTGGGTTTTCAGTCCCCACCTGATTCCCTGGGTTTCCCCAGACTATTCTTCTGGGGTTTTCCTCCCACCTCTAAAACTGTAATTTCTTCTCATTGTCTCCTCTCTACAAGTTTCTTCAGGCTTGCGAGCTTTGAGGAATCCTTGGTTTCAGTATCAGAAATTAATAATAAATATTATAATAATAAGAATAGACTCGGAACTGCTGATTCGCGCAGGTATACATGAATCTACAGTTCCTCGTCCATTCTCGATAAACTAATGAGAATTTGTTTTAAGATTTCAATTCAATTTGCATCTTCGCAATCCTGCTGTCGCTGCTAACGTCAAAAGCTTTTTAATACAATTTATCTGATATTGAATAATCAGTAAAAAGGAGAAAATCAGATACCTTGTGTTCCATATCTCAGCCTAGAAAATATTGGCAATTTGAGGGGGGTTCCATTTATTCAGCAACTACCTGTAATTTTCCATTTTAAAACAAGGCATTCCCTGAAAATGTGTACTTTAATTCAGTATGACCATACTGCGCCTTTTACAATTTTTCTCTCAATATTAGCAAGGGAAAACTGGGTAGAATTTGTATTCCATTTATCCCTGGATTGAATCAGAAAAGTTTTTTTTTAAACAAATTAGGGGACAAGACGACATATTTCACTTATACCACTAGTAGATAAAAAATAAATTATGGGGATTTCATGGCAAAGGTAGAAGTTGGTAGAGGTGCCAATTTGAAAAGATGCATATGGAAACAAATGAATATCGGTTGAACTGTTTCCTGTTGTGACATGTACATGTATATATCCAGGATCATGAACGTTAATTGGTAGATTGGGCACAGTTCACCATGTCACGATTTGGACAAATTGTCTACTACAGGTAATGCTTTTCTGAATTTGTAATTGCAGGACAGCGTGGTTGATTCTACCCATGATGGGATCAAGTATAATGTCCAGCCAGTGCAGTGAACAAGACACATTCAACATTAGTGAGGAGAAAGTACCTTGGTGGCTTCATACTACTACAGACAGGGTCTTCTTCACCATTGTGATTCCCATTATTCTTGGTTTGGGCGTCATCACAAACCTGTCTTTTCTCTTCGTCATCTACCGCACCCCTAGAATCAGATCCGACACCAGCATATACTTGACTCACTTGGCACTTGCTGATCTGACTTTTCTGACCTTACAAGCTTTTAAAGATATTTGGGGCTACATGGCATCACCCGTTGCATCCACCACTCCCTTTGGCAACTCGGCCAGTTGCTGTTGTTATTTTGTAATTGTTAATACTGCATTCTTCGCAGCCATTGCTTTGGTGACTGTAGTGACATACGACCGATATCTTGCCATTTGCCACCCCTTGAAGCAACTTAAGAGACGAGGGCGGCGACAGACCTACCGCATGGTGGCAATCTGCTGGCTGGTAGGGTTACTATTTTGTGTCAGTATACTGCCTATTGAAGCAATTTTCAAGCAGCAATGCTTGCGATGGCCAGATAATGATGCATACGCAGAGCTTCCATTGACAACTGCACACTGCGGTACCATACAACCTTGGGTCGAATACTACGCTGATCCACTGCAGCATATCCCATGGATCTTTGCCATGGGCGCAAATGTGTTCATGTGTGTCCGGATAATACACACGTTGCACAAACGTAGGAACATAAGTGGCAGAATCGGACAAGTCCGGAAGGCGCAATGGGCTAGAAACCAAATGGCCAAAATGCCGATTGTTAACGGACTGGTGTTTTTCACTTGCCAAGTCCCATATGCTGTTGTGAATCTCTCTGAATGGATCTGTATGTTGGCCAATATCCCTGATCCTTTTTCCAGCTCTGTGTGGCGGGAAGCAGTTTGGATGTCTTACATCCCTACACTTATTAACTGCGCTGTTAATCCGTTAATCTATGGAGTGTTTAATACACAATATCGAGCTGCCTTTGTCCAAGCGTTTCAGTGCAAAGGGAGATCACGTTCACAAGTTCCTTTACTGTCTTCTGCACATGATAGCAAAGATGCTACTGCAAGTCCTTTGAATATTATCACAAACAATAAAACAGAGGAAACTCGGCTGTGAAATCAATTTGTTCCAGCTCATGTTTGCCAACTTAATAAAGTAAAGTTAGATATGTCACATGGATAATATATTTTTAGATGCTTTAGTAGAACAAATATTTGAAGAAAGTTTTAACCCTAACTCCCTAGGCCTTTTTGCTAGGATGTAGCCTCAATCCTGCAAAATCCTCCGCTATTTCTTGAATATGGTCCATGGAGGGGTGACCACTGCCTGAATCCTGCAAAATCCTCCGGCTATGACTGTAAATAGGCTGAGGCAGAGGCAGTGACATCCTGGAGCAGTGCGGAGGATGTCAAGTATAATCAAGGACTAAATTTATGCACGGCTGAGCATAAACAATACAAGGTCCGGCCCAAGACCTTGACACAGTGCGTACTCCGAAATCAGCAACCCACTTTTGCCATGTAACCTCAATCCTGCAAAGTCCTCCAATTTGCAAAAAGGATTTTGGAGGATTCAGGGCGGTTAGGGTTAATTAAAGCAAACTTAATAACAATAACCAAAACAAAATCTGTGATCATGCCCCCCCCCCAAAAAAAGAGGACTCAAATAAGTTTAAAAAAAAAAATGTTAGGTGAGTTTAAAACTAGAACAGCACCACCCCAAAAAATATATGTTTAACTCAATGTGTCAGGTAGTGTTGCATTAAGTATTACTGAATGTATTGGGACAAAAAGGACCATTTTCCTTTGAATAATCTTCCTGTATTCGAGTAGTTCGGCTTGCTGATAATGCCTCTCTTAAGACAAATTGGAAAATGAAACTTGTTGATTTTAGGCCATTTTTCAATTTGTAAATCAAATTTTATTCACTATCTAGACTTACCTAAGATGTAGACTATTTATAGAATAATTCCATAATGATGTGAAGAAGCCATCAACTTTGTTGTTAATGCTTTGTACAATGTTGTTTCTCCCCGATACTTACGCAAGTTGTACAAAATGTATATCTTATATTGCACGCAGAGTTATTGGATGCACATATTGTTTGTGTGTTATTTGCTTTTTACAAACAAGTTAATGATGTACTTTGCTAATGCAGCTGTGATTTCAGTATCGGGGTGGGTGATTCGGTAGTTTGAGTCCCATATATCCCTTGAATGTATTGAGTATTATTGAATAAAAACCAGTGTTGTAATACTCATACTCAGTACTCGTACTCGAGTACTATTTTTGAAGTACTCGTACTCGTATTCGTACTCGAATGTCAAAGTACTCGTACTCGAAATGATGGTACTCGTACTCGGGTAGCAAAGTACTCGTTCTCGACATGTCGAAATTGTACTCGATCAATAAAGTACTCGTACTCGAATAGCAGTACTCGGGGGAGGTGGTATAGTTTGACTTACTATGGCCTTATTTTATTGATACTTTCAGATTGAAATGGTTGATTGGCTTGTGGAGAAATCGAAATTTCCTGATTTTCCTCTGTGCAAGTCCGGACAAACACATTAACAGCTACCGGTAGCCGTGAGTGGGTCTGTATACCAGTCTGACTGGGCCTGGGCCATTTACGTTCAATGAACCATTTGCCGTATGGCTGTATTCGGAAATGCGAGTACTCGTACTCGTACTTGTACTCGGAAGGACACGTACTCGTACTCGGAAGTACAAGAACTCGTACTCAGAAGTACAAGTACTCGTACTTGTACTCGGCAACCTAAGTACTCGGCAATACTCGGTACTCAGAAAAAAGTACTTGACTACAACACTGATGAAAACAGATGAAATCTTACTGTGTCATATTCCATATCAGTGCCGGCTTGACTAGGGGCAAGTCTACCATCATCACTGTCAACTTGAGACATGGCATCTTGAAATTCATCATCATCATCGTCATCGTCATCCTCATCATCATCATCATTGTCATCTTCATCCTGTGGAGGAATAGAAGTCAGCATTAAATACATGCTTGATATATCGTGTGCTTGGATACTGTAATTTCATTGGTTTATAATGGCCACGTGTCCAGTCTAACACTGCGTTTCATAAGTAAACACCATTTTACCGGTATATCTCTGCACTGCTTATAAATTGCACGCATTGCACGCTTGTGTAGGGCCTGCCCCTGCACTGTCTCATGTCTGGTAAGCAAGCTTGCAGCAGTCAAAGGTTACAATGTAGTGATTTAATTTAATCTTGCAAAGTAAAATACAAGTATTTATCTTTTTGACTTATTGGCACCATATACCGGGTGAATCAAAAAAAGCAGAACCCAAACCCCAAACAATATATTTCATATTTAACAAAATATGTAGCACCAAAAATAATAATGACTGGAAAGCCAATTTCAAAAGCTACTTTTACAACATGTTTCAGATGAAAAAATCACTGAAATTGCTCAATCCGTTCAAAGAATATCACAATTTAAACGCAATGACCCTAAAACCTGTCTCGTCCAAAAAATAAATTTATTGTGTGTTTTGACTGTTTGGAACAACAAAGAAAATGACACAGAATACTTGTTTCAACAACTGTCACCAACTGTAGTACACAATATTTTGATTAACAACCCTGGTTAGGCAAACAATATGATTTATAAAATCTACTTTTTGAAAAGACGGGCCTTCAAAAGGACTGTGTTGCATATTGTTAACGTTTAAACTAAGATCTCATCGCTGGTGATGTTTGAAGACAATTGTGATGACAATTGTTGAAATTGCATTTTTGGACGAGACAGGTTTTAGGGTCATTGTGTTTAAATGGTGATAATCTTTGAACGGATTGACCAATTTCAGTAATTTTTTCATCTAAAAGTAGCTTGTGAAATTGGCTTATTGTTTTTGGTGCTACATTTTTTTTTAAATATGAAATATACTATTGGGGGTTTGGGTTCCGCTTTTTTGACTCACCCTGTACATGTAACAAAACAATCATTGACTGCTGTGATGTGGGTTATGTCGTTTTCAACCCCCTTGGGGCGCATAGCACACTTGGCCCGCCGCTTGGGTGTTAAAAACAACATTTCCCACATCACAACAGTCAACAATTGTTAAATGTTAACACATCTTTTCAATTTTTTGTTTTGTGATTGGGAAAACAACTGGATCAGTTTAACAGATTTATAGAACTAAGAAAATGGTGAGCCCATTCCGTAAATAAAAACGGATTTAATTTAACAAGATTTCTTTTTATTTTGTCATCGATGAGTGGATGGAGCAATTACAATATATGCTCTAATGAGATAGTTTAAGGAATAGGGACCGACGAGCAGCCGTAATAGATCGATTTTATTCAGGATATGTAGAAGCAGGGTAAGCCTTAAGGATTTTTTTTTGTATAGCAAAACTGCTATGCAAATTTTGATTTGCATAGCAGTTTACCAATTTTGCATAGCAGTTTTGTTATACTCAAATTTAGCCTCGGCTTTGCAATTACTATTTACCTGTCAGTGTCAGACTGTACAAATTACAAAGCACTAAGAAGTACTAACTTACGTTAAGCTGTGAACTTAATGACTCATCAGTTGTCTGTTTATTTCAGGAGCTGCATGCTTGCTGGAATAACTTTCGAGTGAAAAAGCAATTTATTAACCCGGGCGGCCGGGCCATTCCTGGCCCCGGGTCTAGATCCGCCTGCCAATTATTGGCAGTATTTGCCTTGATACCGGTAGTTTTCGTGAGTAGCCATGTTTTCATCAATATGCTACACAGCGCACAAACGACAACACAGCTGGGATTTTGACGTTTTAGTTCCCACGAATCCCACGTGCGTATCAAGTGAATTAATTGAAGGGGTAAACCCGTTTTCCGTGTCGGCAAAATGTTTAAGATAAACCGACAAATATCTAAAGAATAGTGATGAGAAAAGGGCTCGATTTACCCGGGTGCACGCATGTAGATTTTAGCTTGGGCACGCTTTTTTACTGAGCATGCACGACGTGCATGTAACTTTTTTAGCCACCAAAATACTCATTTCATGCATATATTTACCAGTGAGCGAGAATAAGAATAAAGTTTGTTGAATACTTGACCAGATAGTGTACAAACGTATTATTTCTTTTATAAATCCATAAATTATTCCTCGCACAGTCGCAGCAGATTCAAAGTACGAGGTAAAATCTCGACGTACGTCCCGCAAACTCCTCCGATCATGCACGTGATTTACCACGTGATACATGCTGTGGATAATTTGGTATCGCACTGACGCTCCGGGCATTCCTTATGTCCGGATCAAAAGCGCGATTCCAAATTATTAGCTGCGTTTATCACGTGGTCTCGTTATCAGACGCCGCCTGTTTACAAACTAAACACGTACAGATTGTATACAGCTGAACAAAATTGACGTTCTGTTTCAGTATTTAAGCTTAACTAAATCAAAACATGATGGATGTTTACCATGTCCGATAGTTGTGGAATTCAGTGGACCGAAATTTGGTGGCAAGTACACTTTGTGTCAACTTTTCATGATCAAAATGTTGTATAGCAGTTTTGCGATGCACTTTAAAAATTGCGTCGCAGTCGGCCTCGAATGTGTCGCAAATTGCGATGCGATACCGCTTATTGCGGACCCTGTGTAGAAGGTGTGGTGGCACAGAATGTGTGCAATTAACATTTCAACTGAATTTTCACAAAACCACTGTCATTATGAGGAGCACTGGATGAAATTCGTAACAAAAGCAGCTGTCATAACGAACTGACACATTCAAATTTGAACAGCCTGTTAAATTTTTTCACCAACTCAGACAGCACACACTGTACAAATTTGATCAAGTGTATTTGTGGTTATTTTTCAGACACTAATGGCAACAATATGCATCTGAGCTCGGAAATACAGGATGAAACTGGTTCACAAGTTTCTATAAATATAAGTAATGTTTTGCATTTTGTACTACTGACAAAATTCATGTAATGAATCCATACTGATGTAACCCTTTAATATGACACAGATTCCCTCTTTCTTTTTGACCTTGAAACAGGTAATTTTTTTTTTTTTTTTTTTTTAGAATTCCCTTTAATGCTCACTCGTTAAAGAGTTTTTACTTGATTAAATATTTTTTGAGTACTTTTAATTATGTTCATGTCAGTTAATAAGCTTTTTATGTATTTTCATTAGTGCAAATACCAATATCGTCATTGGCGTCGCGAGCGAGGGAGGGGGCAAGGGAGGGGGCGCTTGTCCCCCCTCCCCCCCCCCCAGAAAAGCATAAGAAAATTTTTAAAGAGAAAAAAAAAACCAACAACACAGAAAAAAAAAATAGGCGGAAAGTCATATTGCTGCTAATTTAATGGGGGGGGGGGGGGGGGGGAATGTCCCTGCCCCCCTCAAAACTGATAAATGGAGAATGTGTTGGGAAATACAGAAATTTTTTGGGACAAATATTTTTTGCCCCCTCTAGAAAAAACGCCCATGAGTATCGTATACATAAAAAATGATCTATTATTATTAAAATGATGCAGATAACTTCTACCCAACCTTAATTCCATTATAATTGTAGGAATAACAGCAGTTCGGTTTAACTCACCGATGTTTGGTCTTCATGATCACTGTCAATAATCCAAGCTGCCTGGTATTCAGAGGTTCCTTTCGGTACTCGCTTTTTGGTCGTGGTGGTGTTGGCTTCTTTTAAAGCAGCTGCAGGGGTCCAATACAAGATTGAAGGTCAAAGTTCAAAGGGTGACAATAATTTTGGTACAAGGTGTTGGGCTTTCGTTTGTACCCATCACTTTTTACTAAGGCAATAAATGTGTGCTTGGCTGGCATTAAATACTATGTTTAAGACCCGTTGGAGTCTGGATGCTGATAATTACCTGAGCCGAGGCGATGGTAATCGGCTCAGGTAATTATCAGAACCAGACTCCAACTGGTCTTAAAACATAGTGTTTAATACCTACCAAGATCATATTTATTCCTTTTCATAATTCCTATTCCTTTTCGGTCAATTAATCAAAACTTTCGGTCCAAAAATCAAAACAAGTCAAAAATTTAAAATTTCCAACAATTTTGTTCAACAATTTCACTCCATGTTTTTCAAAACACCCCTCTAGCTAAATAATCGAGTGTCCAGCTTGCGAGTAAGACATAAAGAACTCCTTTTATCGTACGTACTGCGCAATGTCACACAGATGCAGCTGTGACGAGTGCATTGTGAATTTAGGACTGCAAAATACTGACTCACTGGTACTATTGCCCATGCCTACGTGAGGATTGTGCACGTCCAACCAATAAAATGGTAAAAGGCACTGGATTTCTTGGGAGTCCAAATTTCATGTGACACTGGAAAAGTGTTTAAGACCAGCTAACCATGTCTTTATCATGCGTTTAAGACTAGCCTTGGACGGACTCTCAATCAACGAGAATGGGTAAATTGTCTTAGGTATTTATGAATGCAACTTAAAACAAACGTCTTAGGTTATATAGTGGAGTCTCAACCATTTTAAAGTTCTGTCCACGGATCACAAAAAAGATGTGCGTTCTTTCAGCAAAACGAACACGATTCACACACATCCCTATGTGATTTGTTTTCATTTTGCTGAAGGAACACTTACCTTCTTGTGATCCGTGGACAGAACTTTAAAACTGTGGTTGCGTTTAAAACTCTGTAACTTTAAAAGTACATGAGTGATTTGAATGATTCTTGTACTAAAAGCAAGCTTGTGAATTGGGCTTTCATATCCTAGTTTTGAAAGTGCTACATGCAGAACTTCACTAAAACAATAGTCCCGACATTTGGATTTTGCTTTTTTTGACACACCTTGTATGGCAAAAGTGAGTCACTTTTTAGGCTCCCAATATGGCCACTGCTGCGCGGAACACAGACAATAGCTGAAAACAGGACTTATGGGCTCTGTGCATAAGTACCCCCTCAACAGGGAGAGACATTGGAACGCATTGCCGAAGATGCCTGACGCTCACGTGAAGACGAAGTGGGTTTGTGCACATTCAGAATGAACTCAGTCAAGAAATACGCGCAAGCCAGTGCGCGCATCGGTGTGTCCCGTCCATGGGGCTCTCGAAAGTGGTGAAAAGGCACCCTCTTTTGTCTGCGCACAGAACCCATACAGACCAAGACTTGATGGAGATTTTGATGGGTTTCAGTCCCCCCCCCCCCCCCCCAGTGTACCTTCTGCTTGGGCTAGTTCTTCCTCTGTTGGCCAGGTCTGTTCTCCTTCCATGGGATCCGGGATTGCCTCACTGTCTAGGCTCTCCTGCATGGAAGGATTGGCTCGTCCTAAGACTACCACACCCTGCTCCATGGGATTGGCATCATCATCCTTGGACAAAATACAAAAATGCATTTATTTCTGTATCCTTTACTGGATCCCTGATGCAAGTGTAATGAGAGGAAACAGGAGGGGAATGTGTTTTAGATGTTTGAGGTGAAATTCTGGAAAGCAAAATTCAAGGTAAACTTTACATATTGTTTTGTATAATGAAAGGTTTTTTTTATGTATTCATGTATTCTTTCTGCTCTTAGTTTGACAAAGACTTTAATAAAAATATCGGTAGATTCTGCCTATCGCCGTTTGCGAGTTAGCCACGCCCCTTGGACAACCCTATGAAGATTTTGCACACTAAGTTTTGTTGTCTCAAATTGTGCGCGTTCTGCGTCCACTTGTATATCATGCAATTGAACAATATTTCACAAGCTGCATGGACGCGATTCTAACGCGATAGGTCAATATTCTAGTAAGCCTGTGAATGACAACACTGTTTATTAATTTGAGAGACATTACAGTTGCATACCCCATGCTCTTTAAACAAAAAAAAATCAAATTTTTTATTTGAATGTTGGTTGTTACGAAAAAATACTTTTGGGCATCTGCAACCTTCTGAAAAATGGCCTTCACTTGTGCACAATCAACCCACCCTAAGAGAGCCGAATTATTGTCCGGCAGTCAATAATTTGAGTTATGTGAAGAAATCATTCAATGACCCATAGTCAGTGAATTCCTTCCTTCTATGTCTCATTCAAAAGTGAATAACTTTTATATTGCTGGGGAAATAGCTGTTGAAAAGCAAATCTATTTTTCCAGGTGAAACTCGACAATAGCACGGGAATACATCTTTAAAATCTATTTTTATACAGTATTCAACACTTCAGCTGATGCTGATGTACATTGTAATAAGTGTATACAAAATGTAATTAAAAATTTTCCAACCATATTTGTTAGTGTAAATTTTGTAATCGCACAACTAAATAACAACTCCAATATATACGGATTGAAAATCATCAGCAAAATAGGGAGGGTAAAGCAGGATATCAGTGAAAAACTGACAAAACAGTTTTAATGATAAAGATGATTGTATCTTTACGGAGGTAAATTTTGGAAAATATCTCCAAAAATAATTTCTATCTTTATATATTATTGGAAAGGATGTGAGTGTTTTTTTTGTGAATGTGAGTGAAACTTGAATCAAAATTACCGCTTCCATGCTGTCTGATTCTTTGGGCTTTTTCTTTGGTGCCCTAGAGGTCAGAGGGCAAGGGTCGGGTGTCACATCGATCTGACTCATCTGGAAAGACCCAAGCCCAGGTAAATGGACCAGACCATTCACTGACAGGGGAGAACCACGTAGGAATCCTGTCACCTTCAGAGTTCCTACAGCTTCCTGATAGGGAACACACAGAAATGTAAACAATGAAAAACAGGTTTATATATGATTGGTGGACAGCATTATCACTCTTATTTACTTTGCAGCGAATTCCCCTATCGATGATTTTGGTTGATTCAAGAAATTATAACAAAGAAGACAGTTTCAAGTATTTAACAGCTGATTATCTGTATGAAATAGTTGAGCCAGATCACTAAAGCTATAATAAATCCAAAGACTTAAATATCATCACCGCAAGCAAAAAGTTAAAAGTTGCTTTGAAAAGACCCTTATTATGCTTCAACAACCTGCACACTCATCATTACTTGTGATGCTACACTGTGTGAGTGACCCATTGTTTCTTAACCTTAACCTTCCCAAATCCTCCAAATTTCTCTTTGCAAAATGGAGGACTTTGTAGGATTGAGGCTATATGGCAAATATGTGTGGCTGATTTTGGAGGATGTACTGTGTCAAGGTCTTTAGCTGGACCGTGTGTTTTTATGCTCAGCAGTGCATAAAGTTAGGCCTAGATTGAACTTAAAATCCACTGCACTGCTCCAGGATGTCACTGGCTCTGCCTCAACATATTGACAGTGATTGCTGGAGGATTTTGCAGGATTGAGGCAGAGGTCAACCCTCCAAGGACCAAACTCAAAAAAATAACGGATGATTTTCGAGGATTGAGGCTGTATGCAATTTTTACATGGAGGCAGTTTGAGGATTTCGCGGGATTGTCGTTGCATCCTAGCAAAAAAGCCGAGGGAGTTAGGGTTAAACATTTATTGCAGCCATTGTCATTTAAAATGTATTATCCATTGGACAAAGTTACCTTGGCTTGCAGTGCTCCATGAATTTGACCCCTTGTGTCAGATGACCAGGCCAAAGTTGACCTAACATTATGGTAATTGCAGAACACTCTCGTCTTGACAGCAACTTGTATCACTTTTTAATCACAAAGCTCAAGAAGCAGCATAATCTGGGCTTCCAATTTTGGTCTTTTTGGAGGGACCTTACACAAACTAGCTTCTCAGTAAAAGTGTATCTATATGATTTTGGCGAGCTTTAATAACAACAGAGTACAACATTCACAAGCAGGCTTAAAAGGGGAGGGCAGGTTTTCAACAAAGGTCATTTTCATAAAATGCCGAACAATGTGAGAAAAAAAAGACCTTATCTAGATTTACAGGCAGAATGTATATTTACTGAAAAAAGTGTAATGAAAAGGCAGATCTTAACATTCCATAGCATGTGAATTCAAAGACAGTTTGACGAAAAAATTTACAACCTAATGAAAGCCACTGACCTGGTCTTGATTGGGTTCAAAGTTCACAGTTCTTGCGAGAAGGTGAGGTCTGACGTCCCTCCATTTAATGGGCCTCAGACGTTGCTCGGTCATGTGACGTAGCAACAGCAAACCCTCTTGTTCTGTGTCGAATGTGTAGAGTTTTTCATCTGCAAACCTGGTTCCCCAAAATAAATCAATAGTTTGTGCATTAAATCATCAATTCATAGCATTCTGCATAGTAACACAACTACACACCGCAGAAAGAAAACAAAGTCCCCATTCATTGGAGGGGTCATATATTTGAATCTGGTCATCTTATGATGCCATTTATAGGCCTTTGGGAAATTTTGTCAGCTAAATTTTGATACCCTGTTTGCTACCAAAGACTGTAAATGGTCGAAGATTGACAACGGTTCATGAAAAATGATGCAGTTTGAAAATTACGCGAGGAGAAATTGTTAAGTGCAAACACACATGCCCGTATAATTGGCCCCTGTTGACTGCACAGTGCCCGAACAAAGCGCAGGTAATTCAATTTGCGTGCTCCCATGCATGCAAGCACTGTGCGATTGATATTCCCTGCCGTTTGTTTTGGGCAGTGTAACATTGTCACGCAGTAATTTCCATTCGTGTACTCTTTAAATTTGCAACTTTTCACACTGTATCATTTTTCATAAACCATTGCCAATGATGAACGATTACAGTCTTTGGTAGCACACAGATTATCAAAGTGTAGCTAACAACATTCCCTAAAGGTCTATTAAAAATGATGACCACTCCAATGAGTGTGGACTTTCTTTTCTTGCAGTGTTTAGTTTTGGCTACATGCTTAACTAAAGACAGCACTTTGGAACTAATACCTTTTCAACCAGCCAATTTTTTTTATAAAATCAACATACTATATCTACACAACTTTTAATGAGGTTTCCACAAACAAAATTCAGAACAAACTATAAGGTATTAAACCATTGCTATGACGTCACACTATTGTTAAAAGTGTGGATTCGGAACTACGAATGTGTTATGCTGGTCACAAAGTGTGGATTCGGAATGACGAATCTTTAGCAAAGTGTGGATTCGGAACTACGAATCTGCTACGCTGGTCACAAAGTGTGGATTTGGAATGAAGAATCTTTAGTAAAGTGTGGCCACACTTGGAACACGTCAGACAATTGTTCTCCATAATGAGCATTAATAGGATCGTATGCATGAAAACTTTCCTTCCGAAATTACCAATGCATCTTCACTGTTAAATTCTCCGCCGTCACTACAAAACCTACTTCGAGTCAGAAAGAAATCATTTCCGCCGTCACTACAAAACCTACTTCGAGTCAGAAAGAAATCATCCGCTGTCACTACAAAACCTACTTCGAGTCAGAAAGAAATCATCGTCTGAACTATCCATATGTCGACGGAAGGAGCTGGGAAAAATGTTGCAACCTGACGCCACTTTTTTCTTCATATATCATCTAAATGAAGGTCACTCATTGCAAAAATGATGATAAGACATGAATCTGGGACTGAGAAATATTTCCAATTTTGTTAGGAAATACTTAGAAAATGTTCCTGACTCTCCATAGACTTTGTACACAATCGCGGAAGTGGCGTCAGGTTGCAATAGTCTTTTCATCTCCACTCACTGTTAATGCCAATACTTTTTTTGACGCAATGGTTTAAATCGAAGAATACACTTGCAAGTGTGGATTCTTAATTTACGAATCCACACTTTCTCGTGTATTCTCCTTAACAGAATGAATTGATAAACTCACCTCCTCTCAACTGTTTTCTGAAGAACTTTCTTGGCTTCGTTTCGCTTCTTGATGGGAATTTTATCTAAACCCTAGAGAACACAAATTAACAAGATTTAAATCAATAGATCATATTTGTTGACAAATTATATTTGTTGACAATTGATAAATGTTGGATAGAGTCTACAAACTGTGGTTCCGAGATTGTTTATAAGAAGCTTGTTTCATCCAAGCACACTCCGAATCATCAGTTTTCATGAGACTTCACATCAAACAGGTTTTCTCTAGGCACCCTGCTAAAAGCAATAGCAATGAAAACCATTCTAAATGCAACAAGGTGCATCAGTGGATTCTGTTGTATTGTGAGGTGAGCTAATGACACACCAACAATGGCACTATGCAGTTACCCTGCCAAATGCAACATGAAACAATGGATTCTCGTTGCACCAGTCTCGACACTATGGTCCTGAACCCTGCTATATAATGCAACAGTATCCAACAGGGTTGCCTAGCCTACTATTAAAATGCAACAACATGCAAAAACACATGGCACTTGAGTTGACTGCTAAATGCAACGGTGTGCAGCTACTGCTTTACCATCTAATGCATTCTGTTGCATTTATGGTTAGGGTGAACTTAATTGCAGCTTTAAAGATCAGTCAAACCGATGGTATCTACTCACCCTTGTGACCACCGTTGTGGCAGGCAGCCCTTGGGAGAAGAGACAGGATAGACAGAGGTCCCCCCACATATCCCAGCATTCCGAGGGTGAGACAACACACAGGAGGGAGTCAGCCACCTTGGCTGCATCCAGTATGGAGGTCAGGTCAGCCGGAGGGGTCAGAAAGGTCACGCGATGCTTGAACCTCGGGATACTGAAAGGTTATCAAATTCAACATCGTCTTTATATTACTAAATGCACTATTAGGAAGACACCTAGTCATAATTTTCTCGATAATAGGGAGACACCAATTAATAGGGAGACACATAACTGTCTCCCTAATGGCACAACCCCCTTTAGAGGCAAAATGTTGACGTCGCAACTGAGTTATATTTGTTGCTCGTGGTCTAATTAGTACAAATACTGAATTTCGTGAAAAAAGGACAAGGGAATATTGGGTTAGGGCACATTTAAGTTCGACAAATTGTGTGCACAAGTCTATGGGAGAGTCTCCCTATTGCCCCATTACCGGTAATTGTTATGTTTATTTCATTAGATGAATAAATGTACTGGGACAAAATAAAGACCACCTACATGTATTAGTAGAAATTTCTGTTGCAATTTGGACGTTTAAAAAAAATTAAAATAAAGTAACATGTTTCTCCATAATCATACCTGAGGTCACTGATGTTTTCATCGTTTCTTGGTGATTGGACAGAGGTTTCATCACATGATTGAAGTTGCTCCACCAATCCCTTGACATCGCAGGCTGAGTGTAAGCCAATCACAGCCTTTCGTATGTATCCAGAAAAAAATACCGTTAACCCACAATAGCCACTGTACTACATTGTATATTACATTTTATAACACCTCACCCACAGATTCTGTGTCTTGATTGGCCGAGAGCGAGTCACATGTTACTTTCTAATTTTGCTATCTATCTGTGCACGGCCAAAAGTACTATGCGCATAGCAACCAAAGTACTATACCATTAGCAACCAAAGTACTATTTCCACGGCGCGGTATTTGTGTGCAAATGCATGCTGGTGTGCGCGTTGCGCGTTGTGCGTAGCGCGTATTATTGCAAAGAGAGCGCGCCGCAGACTTGGGTTCAAACATTTTGTGAAGGGGTAGTTTTTAAGAGAGAAATACATTTTCCACCAATTTTGTATTGAAATTGAAGTTTATTTCAACTGTGTTCAGATTTAAATAATTAAAAATATTAAAATCAAGCAGAATCTGTGGGTGAAGTGTTATAAAACAAATATTGAATGCTTTATCTCGTGGTGAAGTAAAACTACACCACTCGAAGCATTCAATATTTGTATAGTATTTATTTCCTGAAGAATCCATGCAACCATATAGTTCTTGGGCAGTTTGAGGGTGGCACAGGGAAAACAGGCAAGGCGGTTTGGGATGATACAAGGTCTAATGGATGAAATAAAAGGTCTTATAATGTGTACCAATGAAATGACATAATGGTCATATTTGTTTTGGCCATGCTGTGCTGAGTTTGGTCATGCTGGTCACATCTCTCATTGACAACTGATAGCAGAGAGGAATCACATATAGGATCTTATGATCCTAGGGTGCTAACAAATTTTGACTGACAATTTTTCCAGTGCCTAGAACATGTAGAAAGATCGAAATACATGAATTTTTTTTGATGAAGTAGTTTCCAAATACAGGATTAAATGATTCAAAAATATGTCTGATGTTAATATCACTAGTTTTGCTTCAGCATCAAACCTTTCCTGCCTTTTAACTGTAACCCCCCATGGTGTGTGAAAAAAATCATATTCAAATTATGCCGGCCTCAGGTTGCCCTGCGATTTGCTTGTACTGCTACGGAACTGTCGGCATCAAGCAAAAAAAGGCATGTGCCTGTCACCAGTCACTAAACTGAGAAATCGTGTGATTATCGTGGTACAAGCGGTATCTCAACACAAAATAATCACAATCATGCTCAGGTCACCAATGACGGGACAACAATTTACAACAAAATTACATTATCTGGATGCACGCATGACTTCAAAAAAGTCAACTACGATTGATCGTCTGTTGCGAACACGTTCTGTTGAAATTGAAGTTGAAATTTTTCTACTTCTGGGACTGTCAATTTGTTTTTGCCGATCATCTTAATAATGTTGTCATAGTTGCACTTAGGTCACAACAAAATAGGCGACTGATATGTTCCCGATGGTCGTACCTCAGGAACAGCTTGATCCTGAAAGTCAGTCACCTAATGTTTTCTTTAGAGGATTTAGAGGATTCAAGACTGTTAGGGTTAATATTAACAGTGTGCATTGACCAATTACATGTAGATCATGATTTAGGGTCAGGTGATCACAACAGCTTGGTCAAACTCAGTCACAAGCGCTGTGAGAAATGCACTAACACCAAAGGTGGGTGGGGCTGATGGCCAAAACTGGAACGATCCATTACAATTTGCTGGTTCTGAAGTTGGCTAGACCATAGTGCCTCACAAAACCTGCATCTAGGGACAAGTTCTGCTAACTGGTCTTACCACAAGATGGGGTGCACTGTCCCGACCACCAATACTGCGTTTCTTGGCTAATACTTCCTCACGTTTGTGCTGTCTTCTCTGCTGGGCCTGTGCAAAAGATAACAATCACTTAACCAAATAATAGTTCAAACATTTATTGTGTTCTTTTACATTTGAACCTTATGTCACAAAAGTCACCAGAACAATTGCTCTTAAAAAAATAAAATGCAAAAATCATTTGGACTGCAGCCATCTTTGAGATGTGTGCTTTTGTTCAACAGTGATACGCATGAGAATACCTCTTCTGAATTCATTAATGAATTAACATAACAAAACACACCTCCAAGATGGCGGCTGAATGCAATCAATCTATAACTGAGAAATGCAACCCAGCAAAGAGGGATTTTAGAAAGAGGGGCATAAATATATTTGTGATGAACCCGTTATCTATGACATTTATAATAATGATTTCTTCAGTATTCTTCCTTACTTGGTGTCTCCTGTTAACTTTGCTGACTTCATGTCTGTTTTTCTTTGATTGGGTCTTGATGCTCACACGACCTGTGAGAAATGAAATGAGGGTTGAGTAAAATGTTGCAAGGTACAGATGCTACGAAATAGTAAAGCCACAGTCATGTACATGTGTTAGCGTCTGATTCAATGCCATGTTCATGTATTGGTTCTAATGGAGTCATTGCAAAGGTATCCAACCATGGATTCTCTATACAAGGATAAACGACTTCCTTAAATTTCTGGTTAGATGCGCGATACCGCACTTGGGCATCATGAGTGCACGTGCCTCGGCATGCAACTTTCAGTGGTCAAAATTCTATCAGGACGCACGCATTGTTCTTCATGTTCTACGCGTTGTTGTTCTATGCGTGGACGCGGCACATCACGCATGCAGACAAACTGTTCTGTTCATTTTGTACACAAGCTCAGATGAGTCATTTATCCTTGTGTAGAGGATCCGTGATCAAACCAACTCGACCATCTGCTTACTCGACTCAAACCAACTTGACCGTTTGCCAACTCGTCAGTTGTGCCAACTCGACTGCTGTGCGTTCAAGCCATCTGTTGCACAACTTGTCTGTTGCACAACTCGTTTGTATACAACATTGTATACAGGGGGGGAAGTGGTCTGTCTTGCGCCTCTGGAACGTTGGTCGTGTACAAGCATGTGCTGCGTAGTGTTGTTTGATGGGTAAAATGGACAGGTTACAGGGCTGAGAATTTGCCGGGTCAGTCGCGATAAAAAGCGTGTGCTGAAGAATCTCACTTCTAAACCATAGTGTACCAGACCGTGAGCACCCCCATTTGATTTTATCATATGCCTATTCACGACAATACTCTTGGTTGCAGAATATAATATCAAGGCCCAACTAGGCAACTAGACAATTCCAATTATTCGAGTTTGGTAAAAGATATAAATCAATAACTAAACTTTTGTGGATTGTTTTTTCCTTTGTTAACGGCCGAGTTGACTCCATGTTTTGAGCCAAGTTGTACAACAGATGAGTTGGCAAACAGTCAATTTAGCAAAACAGTCAAGTTGGCAAAACAGTCAAGTTGGCAAACGGTCACGTGTTGAAACAATATTATACCCCCAATCTTTGGATATATTATGTAGAAAACATGGTGGGGTTTAATTTTCATCCAAGTTCATCTCAAGGTCGGGCGATCCAAATTCAAGGTAGAAGGTCACAAGGTCATCATACTTCAAATAACTCCGACATGAAAAAATAATGGTCAATTTGGATTTCTTAAAAGAAACCAAGTTTAACAAATTTGGCCCACAAGTTATTGAAATATGGTCATTTGAAAATTGGCAGCCACGCCCATTTTGACCAAAATTGCCAAACAATGGCGGAGTAAGGAAGAATTTTGCAACCTGACGCTACTTCAGCGGTTGTGTACAAAGTCTATGGAGAGTCAAGAAAATTGCATTTCCTAAAGTATTTCCTAACAAAATTGAAAATATTTTTCAGTCCCAGACTCATTTCTTATCATCATTATGCAATTACTGACCTTCATTGAGATGATGTATGAAGAAAAAGGCAGCGTCAGGTTGCAACATTCTTTCCGGAGGAGGTGGGGGGGGGGGTAGGGGGATGGGGGGCATATATCCCCCTAGTCCAAGTAGCTTGGACCCAACTTATCGCCTTTTTAACATTCAGACATGGTCTGGTGATAGTAGGATCCAAGCTACATGTATTATCGGTCGACACAATTTTGTTCTTGACCCCAAAACCCAACATTGCCCCCCAAAAACATCAAATTTCACCCTCAAAATAGCCCACAAATTACTAGATATGCCACCTGAGGTACACACTTTTAGACATTGATGATTAAGATGGTTGTACTGAAGTTTACTTACGATCTGAATGAAAAGTAAAATTCGTTGGTCCCCGTATCCCGAGTGCGATTCCGTTACCGAGCGCAATGCATCGATTATGATAATCTTAATGAGTAGGCCTAAGGCCTATAATAAATACATTTTGAACGATAATAGGGAGTCCAGATATGGGCAGCTTTTATGGGGGGAAACCTGTGTTTACTGATCCAGTCTTCTCATTATCATAATCGATGCATCGTGCATGGTAACGGAAACGCACTCGGTATACAGGGACCATCGAATGAACATGCATGACCACATCGCATTGTTCAAACATGAGTCGAAAATTTAACGTGTTCACAGTCGATCGCGAGGGGAGCTCTTGGAATTGAACGGGAAATTTCACTTTTCATCCCAATCATAAGTAAACTTTAGTACCTCAATCTTAATCATCAATCTCTACTTGTACCTCAGCCTCAGGTGGCGTATATAGAGGCCATTTTGAGCATGTTGAGCATGTTGAGGGTGAAATCTGATGTTTTTGTTGGACAATGTTGTGTTTTTGGGTCAATAACAAACTTGTGTCGACCGATCCCGATTGATGCGGTTAAGCTTGGATCCTACTAATTGCCTGACCATATCCGAATGCTTAAAGTAAAAAGGCGATAAGTTGGGTCCAAGTAAAGTTGCCAAGTTACTCGGACTAGTAATAATAGTATTATCCCCCACTTTAGACTGGGGTGGGCTATTGAATCATCCCCCCCCCCCCCCACACACACTTTTGCATCAGGCATGCAACTGTACATTCTCAAAAAAGAAGAAAATCCAAAATTCAGAAGACTTTGTACAGTGTTTTTCTATTTTGAATGGCTGAAATGGGAATAAAAAAAGAGGAAATCAGCTGCTCGGTAGTCCGAGTAACTTGGACCCAACTTATCGCCTTTTTAAAAATTTGGACATGGTCTGGCGATAGTAAGGTCCAAGCTAATACCGCGACCTAGACAACACAGTCCCAAAAACCAACATTTTCCAACAAAAAACATCAGATTTCACCTTCAAAACGGCCTCCAAATTACTAGATATGCCACCTGAGGTACAAGTAGACATCGATAATTAAGATGGTTGTACTGAAGTTTACTTACGATCCAGAAAAAAGTGAAATTTTCCGTTCATTTCGGAGAGCTCCCCTCGCGATCTTGAACACGTTAAATTTCTGATCGTGTTTAATGTTTGAACGACGCGATTTCTTCTACATGCCCAGCGTACATTCGATGGTCCCCGTATCCCGTGTGCGATTCCGTTACCGAGCGCGCGCGATGCATCGATTATGATAATGAGTAGACTGGATCACGTTTGTAAACACATGTGCATTTCAAACGATAACAGGGAGTCGGGAACTACATGTAGCGCAGCTTTTATGGCGGGTACCAGTTCAAGCTGGTTCCCGATTCCCTTTTACAGTTCGAAATGCACAAGTATGTGTTTACAAACGTGACTCATTATCATAATCGATGCATCGCGCGCGCTCGGTAACGGAATCGCACACGGGATACAGGGACCATTGAATGTACGCTGGTCATGTAGAAGAAATCGCGTCGTTCAAACATTAAACACGATCAGAAATTTAACGTGTTCAAGATTGCGAGGGGAGCTATCCGAAATGAACGGAAAATTTCACTTTTTTCTGGATCGTAAGTAAACTTCAGTACAACCATCTTAATTATCGATGTCTACTTGTACCTCAGGTGGCATATCTAGTAATTTGGAGGCCGTTTTGAAGGTGAAATCTGATGTTTTTTGTTGGAAAATGTTGGTTTTTGGGACTGTTTTGTCTAGGTCGCGGTATTAGCTTGGACCTTACTATCGCCAGACCATGTCCAAATTTTTAAAAAGGCGATAAGTTGAGTAAAGTTACTCGGACTAGCTGATCGGAGGAAAATTTACATGACAGTTATGCATGCTGAGAAAAAAAAATGCGGATTTTGAGGTATTTTTACTACCCAACTACCCAACAACCAAAACACGGCCGGGCAATTTTCGGTTTTTGGTCATCCCCCCCCCCCCCCCCCCCCACTACCGCGCCGGCACAGTCACAGATTTACGCCACTGCAATTTGCAAATGATGGTAATTGGAATGTTTCAACTGTTCATGCAAATGAGACCAATTTTGAGAGCTCACCTTTCCCTTGTGTCTCGATTCTTCCCTTACTGCGATGTCGACCTGTTTTATGCGTCTTATTTTGCTGTTTAAATGGCCCTGACCTGTGTGTTTCTTGTTCGCTGTTCACAGCCATCTTGCAAAATCACACACACGTGCATACGAATAGGGCGCCACCAAGTGGTGAACCACACCATCGCCAGCGCAAAATGCATGAGATTGCAGGTCAACTCGCCCCCTGGCAGACTCGACCCTTACTGACTCGCGCCTTACCGACTCGCCCCTGACCGACTCGCCACTGACCGACTCGCCTCCTAGCCGACTCGCCCCCTGACCGACTTGCCCCCTGGAGCCAAATTATTCAAACGACATTTCAAATGATTTCTGGTACAATAACAATAATTATTATAATAAATGGTAATAATAACCAATAATAAAAAGGTCACGCATGAAAATAAAATAATCCCTTTCCGCAAGAGAAGAGGGTAAATCACGTTCAAATAAGCTTTGTTATCTGAGTTTCGGTTTTGATTCTCAAAGTTGAGCCTCAGCTCCTCCTATAACATTTGAAGAACACCAAACAAATAACTGTTTTTTTTTATTTTCGCAATATACATCCTTAATTCTAAAAATACTTTTTAATGAAACTGAGGACCTAAATTTGAGATTTACAAACGGTGAACGCGGTACATGCCGCGCACCCGCAGTCACCATGAACGGACCGCGAAATAGACCGGCTGCTACGCGCGATAGGCCCCGGGCACTCCGCGAATACCGGTATAGCTGTGCTAATGTGTTTCCAACCCAAATTCTTCATAAAAGATCAATAGTTTCTTGCATTTGTACCGGAAATCCTTCAAAAGTGGCGTTTGAATAATTTGGACCATTGGGTTTCATGCTACGATTGGGCAATGTGTTCCCGCACTCATTTTTTTTTTCAAGATATCATTGTGATGAGATTATGCACGCAGTATATTCCACCAGATACAGAACCAGGATAAAATGGCCGGTTTCGAAGAACGCTCCATTTTTTGTAAACTTGGTACCAGCCCAGCCCCCCCCCCCCCCCCCCCACCACCACCATTTGATTTTACGGAAGCCAAGTGTCCGGTGAAAAAAACATGTCGACATCAAGTTCAGCACGGATGTGCCCCCCCCCCCAAAAAAAAAACTGGATACGCTGCTACACCAACGGAAGATGCCTTTTATTGAGCAAGTGCCCCGGTGATGCGACTGTAACCGGTCAGTCCAAAAATTCAACCCCCAAAAGTGGGTGCAGTACATTTCGTTTTCGTCCTTCACAACTGATTTAAACAGGCAATTTTTTTCAACTCAAGTTGATCAGTATGAAACTGTGCCACCCCTCTAAGTAAGTCTCGTGACCAAAATGTAATCGCCCATCGGGATTACGTCATTAGCATTCTATCCGATTCTCATTTCTAACCCAGGCTTGCGCTGAATGCACATTATGCAAATAACGCGTTTAGAAGATTTCCACTCAGACTCCAGCCCTATTGTTACATTCATGCCTCGCTGATCACCATGGTACAGCGACCTAGCGTGCACGGGCTTTATCTTAAGCTGTTGTTTCGGTTCTGGGCTAGGCCTTCATTACTGTCGTTGTGCTCCTCACGCTCACTGCATGCAACTCATTACACTGTTCAAAATTATCATTTTGGCTCGTATAAAATTATTGTTTATTTTTATTGAACGTGCACATTGTGTCCAATTTATATTGTATTAACAAAGACATCGTTACCCTTACTCCAAGATCAACACCAAGAGGGGCAATGTCTTCAAGAGTAGAAAGAGGTACGTTACATGTCTCTGATGATTGTAGAATATAATCTTGCATAGGAATTCATCTCACACGTGCAGTGACATTGTGTTCGCACGTATAACATAACATTTGCATAGGAAATCGACAAGATACGTGCAGTGACATTGCGTTCGCACGCATAATGTAAACTTTGCATAGGAATCCATCTCACACGTGCAGTGACATTGCATTCGCACGTTTAATTTGCATGGAAACATAGATACAGAACAAAAAGACTAGATCGGCAGCGCGTCCACACGCGCGGACTTGCATGGAGGGTCACGTGCTGGAGGAAAGATACAAATAATGCGCGAAAACGTGACGAACGCAACGCCGTTTAAGCGCACAGTGCCCCATTATCACTAACAAGGGGGCGAATCGCGTAAATAGTCGGTGCGTATTTCTTGCTTCGCGCGCGTTGAGCTTGGTCACGGTGCTGGAGGAAAGATACATTTTAGCTCCATTACTTGACGTTAATTTGTTGCGCGTCCACAAGACACAATAAAAAAAGGCGGAGATTTATCGCACAATGAATGGGCGCGTGTGGACGCGCTGGCGATCTAGTCTTTCTATTCTATATCTATGCATAGAAATTCGAAAGACGCGTGCAGTGACATTACGTTCGCACGTTTGTAAATAAAATGGGGCGTGGCTATAGGCTCCGTTAAGCCAAAGCAGGTTAGATATAAAGTTTGAGACTGCAACTGGCCGGCCAGGAATTGTTTTCTGGCTGAGCGGATAAATTACTTCATTTCAAGGCAGTAAAATGCTTTAATTTTTTTAGGAAGCTCTGGTAAAATTAGAGAGTTTTGTCACCTGAAACAGAGAACTCCTTAAAGGGAATATACAACATTTGCAAACATCGAAAAATAAAACTACCAAGTTTTTACGAAATACCTTACTAGGATGTTGGTAACTTTGTGACAGTCTCAAGCATCTTGTAAAATTATGGCACCTGGTGTGAAGTCATTTTCAAGAAAATTGTTATTTTGTATACATTTCCAACGGTGGTCGGCCGACCAGCGTTGGAAAAACCTAACTATTCTTCAACTACTGCTCCAAATTTCCATTTTTTTAGTCCAAATGTTAGTGCTTTTGGGTACATGTTCATGAACGGGTGCAGGCCGGCTAGACTGGTTCCCTTGCCTTACAATTTTCCATCATCTATAAATTGATCCATTTTATCTTTTGTGGAGTCAGGAAACCAGACTACTTGAACATTTTTGTTTTTCTTGGTTTGTCCAACCTTTTCGAACACAAAACTTCAAAAATGTCAGTGTATCAATACTTGATCTATTATACTAACCCCTCAAATAGTTCATTTCTAAAAATTACAGCAAAAGCCAATGATTTTACATTCCCTTTAAATTTCATTGGATGTTAAAAAAATGTTTACATGGAAGATAATTACAGCAGAATTAAGGTTGAACGAAAATGATTATTTTATTCAATAATAATGCAATGCCAATAGGAATTTGTCACGTGCATTGACTGTGTGTTCCCACGTGTGTTAATTTGCAAATAGGAATTTATAAAATACGTGCAGTAACATTGCGTTCGCACGTTGAGTATAACATTTGCATAGAAATTCGTCTGAAATATGCAGTGACATTGTGTTCGCACGTGGGGAGAAAATACAATTTCGAAAGAATTCGTCAGACACGTGCAGTGACATTGTGTTCGCACGTGAGTTAATTTGCATAGGAATTTGATACGTGCAGCGACATTGCATTCGCACGTGGAACAGTTGAAGGGTAGCATTCCAGTGGATTTTTTTTTTTCAAATTGTTGTCTCTGAATAATTAAACTCGCTTATTTACACCAGTATTTTCAATGATAAACCTGTGACAGTGTCTCCTTCATTGTCACATTGACTTGCAGGTCTTATGTAACTCCCTTTCTGGAGAGGGTTAAAAGACGTTCTCCACCTCAGTCTCAGAAACTAAAAAATAAATTGAAACAATATAAAACCTAATCAACATTCTGGGCAAAACGTTGGTGCAAGTGATGCAAACAATTAATTAGTTTTTTTTGTAGGTCAAGTTGGGAGGAGTGCAGACGCTGCAGGCGTGCATTATGCAGCATCCGCAAAGCAAAGCAGCTGCTGGATCTGTAGGAGTGTTAGGATAATGTTGTAGGCATTTAAATTCGGCGAAATATTCTCATCCGCGTTTAGAAACCTCCGCACCGCGTTCTATCGCTTTTCCGTTCGACAATAAGGCATATTCATTGGAAATGTTCGGCAAACTCGTGTTGTTTTTTGTTGTTGTTTTTTGGCTAGACCGGAGACGGTTTGGTACGAAGACCGTGAAAGGACATGGGAGTTATTATTTTTTTTCATTTTCATTATACTATTACGTATGTGTTATTGTCACGTACGTACGTAACTCACGCACGTACTTGAATATTATCACGTACGTAGGTAATATTGTCACGTAGGGCCCACGTGATAATTATTACGTACGTAGGGCCCACGTGATAATTATTAAGTACGTATACACAACGTATACTCGTTTAAGGATACACGTATTATCACTTACATATGCAATACATGTACGTACGTAATATGTACTTAATTTATCAGGTATGTACGCAATAATAATACTAATATTGCGCTAGTACGTAATATTATATTATCACTCGCATGTATGTGATAAATTAAATGTATCACGTACGTACGTTGTGATTGTCATATGTAAAGTAGTAGGCCCTAAATAAGAACAATATTATGTTCATCTCCTCTTGGTCTTCGTACCTTCGTACCCACGTACCCGCGTATCCGCATATCCGCATATCCGCGTACCTGCGTAATCGCGCGATTTCGTGTACCATACTTCGAAAATCTAGGGAACTGTTTAGCAAAGTGCAATGAACAGTGTTAGGGTAAATGAAGCAAACGAAAATTAGGGAGCAAGCATAGCCCGCTGCGAGCATGCGCACATTGAGCCTGCAGGCAGTACAATGGGGAGTTTTAGAAGTTTTCTAAACAAAAACAAAAAACAAAAAAAGTATAGGCCTAACACTAACTTAATGCAAACGAAAATCAGTCTAATGAATAACACTGTCCCCTAAACTTGAAAGTACTGGTGTAGTTTATTTTATTTTATCTATTAAGAAACTTCACTTGCAAATTTAAAGTCGATTTTGTAATTGATTGAGAGTCATTTTGTGATGTTCTATCGAGCAACTGGAATGCTGCCCTCTATACGGACATGGGCTGGTACTTTGCTCAACTCAAAACAATTATTAAACAAAGTTAGTCAAACAACTACAGAAAGTGGCAATGCTTGGTGCGTTGTTCACCAACGACGATATAATTTCTTTATGACTGTCTAAAATGTTCAAGAGCAAACAAGATTCATAAATTCTAGGCCATCGGCAATTGACAGTGACCATGCCTGGTGCAGTGTCACTTGTAAGGGATACCCTCTTCGGTGCACATTAGTAGCGCCTATTTCCAAGAGGCCCCTTCCTTCAGAAAAACTTGAACATTAAAACTTAAACCGTTTAACAAAAACACGGAAGGACGTTACTACTTAAATAGCCATACAGAGAAAACTCTTGGTTAATAATTAACGCTAATTCCTAAATGAGCTCTCTGTTAAGGTGACATACACGCTCTTATAGTAACACTAAAAGGTCAAAAAATCTGGGATTAACAGCGTCTGTAAAAGCGCCGCATTGTCTATACTTCGCTAGTCTGTGAGCAGTGAGGGCACAGTTGACAGTTGACCATATTTTAATGATCGTAGTAAAATCAAAAGTCATAACTTTGGTTAATTATACTTTGCATAAATTTATATAAAAGACATTTTTATTCTGTGAAGAGCTTTCAAGCTCGGTTCATTATTAAGTATTTAAAGATAAACTTTTCTGTGAGTTAAAAAAAATGCTTACAGAGAGAATGACTTTTGGGAGAAAAAACTCAAAAGTAGATTGTATTTTGTTTCATTGTAAATGTTGCATGTTTGATTTTTTGCCTTAGTGTGCATTGCTCTCTGTGTGGTGTGATTATTTTTAATGGTATCCGTCATGTTGTCTCTGACAATAGACAAAATTAAATGTTTTTAATTTTTTTACCTTTTACTGTAATACCTACCCGGATATTTACTTGACTACGCGTATGACGAAAACTGAAAACAAAATTCAAATCGGTCTAAAATTAATTGTAGCAAAAATCACATCGTAAGCGAATATTTTTCCGAAAAATAAAATCACTCCGCTTTCTACGTGTAGGCCTACACGCTAGGAAAATGATGAAAATAACGCGGGGAAAACATCACAGCGTTAGTGAGAGTTAAAATACCCGAAATCAGTATTATTTTTCTTGCCACAAAGTAAACAAAATGTGTTATGGAAATTACAAATAAAAATTACGAAAATAACAAAGTAAACAAAATGTGTTATGGAAATTACAAATAAAAATTACGAAAATAACGGCATAGAAAATAATCATCTTAAACGAGAGAAGTAAATACATGTACTTGTAAATTGGTGCTAATTTCTAAACTTCGATGCCTTTCAAAATTTGGCCACAGAAAAAATACCGGTTCTACATTGCCTCAAAAAGTCGGAAAGCGAATTTTGGCAAACGGTGGAAAAATGACGGTAGCAAAAGAAAATGAAATTGACGAAATTACGAGAAAAACAATCACACCATAATGAACAAAATATCTGTTTAAGAAAATGACTAAATTTCAGTTATATACAGCGGCATTTCAAATATATCAAAATTGTTGGCATTGTCGAGAGAAGTGCCTTCAAAAAAACCTAATTGCGCCCCCCCCCCTCCCCCCTCAAAAAAAGTACATTGTGAAAGGTACAACTTATTGGCAACCTACCATTATCGGCGTCGGCACATGTTCGTGTGCATTATGACAAAAAGGTCATGTCTGTTTTAAAAAAGTAAATAGTGGAAACATGGGTAGAATCGTTTAGTTTTTATTTGGTAACAGTGGCCTTATTACAGGTAGGCTTAGACATAATGCTTTGGAATGTTTCCCTTCAGTAACAAATGGGCTAGGCCCAGTGTTTTCGTAACCCTGTTCACTTAGGAAAGAGTTGCAGCTTTCATCAAAGAAACTGACGATCTAAAAGTTGAGACTGCATGGATGAGCTAGGCTGCTTTGTCTGGACGAAAATGAACCCTCCAAGGCTCCAACAGCCTAATCACACAGAAACTCGAGGAACCGGAAGCAGGGAGGAGGACCGACAGATGAACGGATGACCTGCTTGCTGGGCTACCCATTACTGATTCTTGAGGTTAGGTTACATGTTGGCCTCCTCTTTGCAGGATCAATCAAGTCACAGAACTCATCAAAATGGGCGATTTGACTATGTTATAATGTTCTTCCACAAAGAACGAGTTCTTGGTAGCCGTCTTTGCTTAGTGGGGTTAATTCAATGTTTTCTTTCCCCTTTCTAGCCCTGGAACAAATACAGCTCAATAATTCAAATGATTTCTTTCGTATCCTTTCAGAAAACTGAGGACCACTGACTGATGAGGGAATTGCTCTACTGAGATTGATGAGCCTGCCTCAAGACATCGTCGGGGCTCCATCAGCCTTATCACACGGAAACTCGAGGAACCGGAAGCAGGGAGGAGGACCGACAGATGAGCGGATGACCTGCTTGCTGGGCTACCCATTACTGATTCTTGAGGTTAGTTTACATGTTGGCCTCCTCTTTGCAGGATCAATCAAGTCACAGAACTCATCAAAATGGGCGATTTAACTCTGTTATAACGTTCTTCCACAAAGAACGAGTTCTTGGTAGCGGGCTTTGCTTAGACGGGTTAATTCAATGTTTTCTTTCCCCTTTCTAGCCCTGGAACAAAAACAGCTCAATAATTCAAATGATTTCTTTCGTATCCTTTCAGAAAACTGAGGACCACTGACTGATGAGGGAATTGCTCTACTGAGATTGATGAGCCTGCCTCAAGACATCGTCAGGGCTCCATCAGCCTTATCAAACAGAAACTCGAGGAACCGGAAGCAGGGAGGAGGATCGACAGATGAACGGATGACCTGCTTGTTGGGCTTCCCATTCCTGATTATTAGGTTAGTTTACATGTAGGCCCCCTCTTAACAGGAACAATCAAGTCACAGAACTAATTTAAATGGGCGATCTGACTCTGTTATTATGTTAGTCCACAAACGAGTTCTGGTAGCAGGGCTTTGCTTTGTGGGGTTAATTCAATGTTTTCTTTCCCCTTTCGAGCCCTGGCATGAATACAGCTCATTAATTCAAATGTTTCCTTTCGTTATTTGAATCCTTTCAGCAAAGTGAGGACCACTGACTGATGAGGATGAGCCTGCCTCAAGACATCGTCAGGGCTCCGACAGCCTCATTAAACAGAAACTCGAGGAACCGGAAGAAGGGAGGAGGACCGACAGATGAACGGATGACCTGCTTGCTGGGCTTCCCATTACTAATTCTTGAGGTTAGTTTTCAGTTACATGTACCTAAAGAATAAGCAGAAACAAGTAATCAAAATGGGTGATCTGGCGCTCTTCTATGTTCTCCACAAATAAAGAGTGCTGGTTGTGGGGCACTGCTTTGTGGGGTTAATTCGAACATTTCTCTCCCCCCCCCTTGCTCTACCTTTCAGATATTTCTTAATAATAAATCGGATATTTTCTTTCATTTGAATCTTTTTACAGACGTGAGGACCACTGACTGGTGAGGGAATTGCCCTATGATGGATGGGCCTGCCTCAAGCTGGGAGGACAGACGGTTGACTGACACTGCCTGCTTGGTTGGCCATTACCGATTCCTGAGGTATGTTTACTTGAAAAGAGACCAGGGATATGTAGGCCTACACTTAAATTTGTTATTCCTTTAATACTATGTCACCTCTTACGATGCTTGATTTCCTCTTTAAATATTAATTCTCAATTTTGTTAGTTTACTCTTTTTGTCATGTTTTAGAAGAGGAGGAACGCCAAGCTTGGATGAGACTGGAAAATTACGAAGCTGCTATCTGGACAAGGATGCCCTCATCAGATCCTTTCCAATTTGCGGAATATTGGATCAAAAATCAGACTGCATATTATTTTGCAATATTATAAAACATAGAAACGACGAAAATACGAATTCTGGAAACAAAAATCAAATCGGTCCAAATTAAATTACAACGAAAATCACACAGTACGTGGAGTTTCTTCTCGAAGCACGGCACTCTGTTTCTACAGGTAGCTACAGGAAAATTACAAAAAATACACCGAAAATCAACGCGACATATAAGTGAAGTGACGAAACATAGTTTGCACGGCTAAAAAATCACAGCGTTAGTGAGAGAAATAATACTTGATATCAGTGTTATTTTTCTTACCTACAAAGTAAAAAAAAATCGATTGCGGAAGAACCAAATTAAAGAGACGAAAATCACGGTAAGAAAGATTAACAGCGGCAGCGAAAGAAATAAATATTTGAAAATCGGTAATTTTCTAAACTTCTAGGCCCTATGCCATGATGCAAAAATTTGCTAAAAAAATTTCAAATTATAATCTGCAGCCACTTCCGGTACGGTACTACACTGCTAAAAAAAGTCGGAAAGCGAATTTTGGTAAACGGTGGGGAAAATGACGGCAGGAAAAACGTTTTAGAAAATGACGGAAATTAAGGAACAACTCTTGTATCGATGTAAAGAAAATGACTGAATTTCAATTAAAGCAGCATGTTAAAGGCATTCCTCAAGTTCTAGGCCTACACCACATCTTTTAAGTATTATTCGTCGGCGAAAATAACTGCAATTGGGACATTGTCAAGAAGTTTCCCTTCAAAAAGGCCAAAAATAGCCAGGTTATGCATGTGAAAGGGTACAACTTAAGTGTAATCAACAAAGCGATAGGGAAAATGGCTGTATAAGACATGCGACATATTTACTATCGCATGCGACATTTCTTCGTGTTTTGTAAAGGTTTAAACTTAATCTACATCATTTATGTGAGTCCGATTTGGAAAGATCGGCAGGGATACATGTTTTCATCAAGTATATATTTCTCCTTTGAGTTACTCATTTGGTTGTCTTACTTTGACCTTTGATAACGTACAAGGTCGACAGCGCTGTTCGCATGTAAAAGGGTACAACCTAAGTGTAATCAACAAAGCGATAGGGAAAATGGCTGTATAAGACATGCGACATATTTACTATCGCATGCGACATTTCTTCGTGTTTTTGTAAAGGTTTAAACTTAATCTACATCATTTATGTGAGTCCGATTTGGAAAGATCGGCAGGGATACATGTTTTCATCAAGTATATATTTCTCCTTTGAGTTACTCATTTGGTTGTCTTACTTTGACCTTTGATTCGTCTTTCATGTTCATGATGTTCTAGGTTTCCTCCATGTCTTTTGGTTGTTGTTGTTGATTTATGATTAATGAATAAAAGACATGAATTAATAAATAAGGTCGACAGTGCTGTTTTATTGAAGGGGAGAACACGAAAACCATAACGGAAAAAAAGCGTTGCAGTAGTTAAAGAGATCGGTCTAATATAGACTTTCCCGATCAAATCTTTGTGGGCTACGAGTATACCGTACTTAACGTAAATTTCAAAAGAAAGCATTTCAAGATATGCGACAGGTTTAGAGTTACATAGAAAACTACTATTTCCTTGTTGATTTTAGCCTACGTGTAACCCTCCTTCCGTATAGTACTATGTTCAATGTAAGTCCGATTTGGAAGGGATCGGCAAGGATTAAGATGGCATTTTGTCATCTTAATGTCACGTGAATTTCTTTTAATGGTTATTTATAGTGTGCGAGTTATATGCAGTTTCCAAAGCAACCTGCCATTATCAGCGTCGGCACATTATGACAAAGTAGTCGTGTCTGTTTTAAAAAGGCGGAATGGAAACATGGGTAGAATCGTTTGGTTTCCATTGGGTCCTACCCATGACCTGGTTATAGGTAGGCTTAGACATAATTATTGGCTACATTTGCAATGTTTCACTTCAGTAACAAATGGGCTAGGCCCAGTGTTTTTGTAACCCTGTTCACTTAGGAAAGAGTTGCAGCTTTCATCAAAGAAACTGATGATCTAAAAGTTGAGACTGCATGGATGAGCTAGGCTGCTTTGTCTGGACGAAAATGAACCCTCCAAGGCTCCAACAGCCTCATCACACAGAAACTCAGGAACCGGAAGCAGGAAGGAGGACCGACAGATGAACAGATGACCTACTTGCTGGGCTTCCAATTACTGATTCTGGAAGTTAGTTTACATGTAGGCTTCCTCTTAGTCACAGAGCTCAAAATTGGTGATTGGCACTTTTCTGTGTTCTTCCACAACGAGTGCTGGTATAGCGTTGTGTTGTTTTGTGGGGTAAAAAGTAATTTTGAATTCATTAAATTATTTATGCCTCTAAAATAATCTTAAACCGGATACTGCAAAAGACAGTTAACAATGGACAGTAATGGAAACTTGCTGAAAAATTATTGTAAGGGTAATGATTTGTCACTGGCTTTTTAGCAGTGACATGTCTGGGAGAATGGATGTTCCTTTGATCTGTCCTGGGTCATCCAAAATTATTGCATCAGTGAGTTAATAATTTCATACTCCTTACCTTTCATGCATTCAATTGGATCTTCTCGGTAAATTATAAACGAGGTCTCGCCTAAGGCTTTCTATTTGCTTTTTGTTCAGTTGACAATGGAGAATTTTGCTCTATAAATTTAATTTGATATTGAAAGTGCATTTTTAAGAAAACCAATTTAAGTCATAAGAGTTTTGAAAGATTTCAAAAAGGATTAATTTATTGTTTAAAAACTGAAGAAATGTAACAAACTTTATTAAAATTTAACGTCTTTAACAAGACGTCGGTTTAACTAAAACTTGACTTTCTTTCCATTGTATATTTATTAGAAAACACAAGAACGTTTAATTTTTAGGAACATTTAAAGAATAAACTGTTCAGGAACTTCTATCCATCAAAATGCATTGCAACAGGTATGAGTGACACTCAAATTACATTTGTGTTTGTCCTTTTGTGATTTATTTCATTGCACTTTTTTACCTGTTATATTTTTACTTCGTATGCACAATTTTTTTTTCTTGGTGGTTTTGCATGTCTTTTCATTTTCTTATTAATAATTAACTAACCTCACAAAAGGATAAACGCAATATATATCGAGTGTTGAACTTGCCTGGCATCAAATATTTTTGTTCACATAATAGCTAAATTAGACAAAATATAGTCCTGAAATGTTTCAAAATAATCTAGGAATTTTTTTTTGGGGGGGGGGGCATTCCCAAGTTTTATCTCCCCTTTTTAAAATCTTATTTACAAAATGGCGAAATACACAAACCTGGCTCACTTTACCGTGTACAGTCATGTAGTCGTTGCTTATGTAATAATCATCTATATTATAAAGTGATTATTAATTTCTCAAATTTATTGGCCTTCTGCCCAACTTTTTCCCTCATTTGGAATCTTTTGTATTTGTTTGTATGAATTGGTTTAAATATTTGTATGTCAATAAGACTAAGGAGTTAAACAAAATAAATAAAACTTGAAAGATGTGAGACACTTGATATCATTGGAAGATTGTCAGTATTTTGCCTATTTTTGTTTTAGTTGTTGGCGGGGGAGGTCAAGCTACTACAAAAGTAACAAAACCCAGCTGAAATGACGTTTTATTATGTATGGTATTGGGGGCGGGGTGCGCACATAAAGGCACGTCAGGGAATATAAAATAATAAGGTGTTTTTGTAAGGGAAATCTTTACTCTTAAACGGAAATAAAAAAAATCTCCTAGGCTCCTAGGTTCTGCCTTTTAAAATTGTCCCAAAAAAAGGACCCGAGTTTGCATACGCCGGCCAAATCACAATTTGCATGCCCCCATGGGCTTTTAAAAAGAACTTTTGCAAATGGGAAAGACACTTTGGAAACAACCAATCAGTTTGAATATGCTTCATGAATTTCTGAATAAACGAGGACATTTTTAAACAGTAATTAATTACTCTTATTTTTCGATGTGGTGGTGGTGGGGGGGGGGTGGCGGGGGAGGGCTAGACAGAAGATATAATTTAGGAATGGCGTAATGAAACAGACAGCGGGCGCAATAATTTTGATAAGGGTTTCAAAAATTTCTACGCGAGTCGTTAATTTGCTTAAAAAGTGCCCCCCCCACACAATTTTTTTTATAAAAAACGAGCCGAGGATCATCTCCCTAGCTTTTGAGCTGTTATCTAAGAGCAGATTTGATAAAATTAGGGTCCAAAATGGGTCCTATTTGCACGATAAAATGTAGGGATGCCATTGGTAACTTTGGCAGTTTGCAGGCTCAGCATTACCGGCAGGCTTCAACCCCATTACGGACACACTCTCGCAAAATGTGGTCCGGTGTGACAGGTAATTCTTTCCCCCCTGATAAATGTGTCCCCCCCGGACACATTTACCAGCTCGTGACCCGGTAAATGTGTCCGGGGACACTTTTACCTAGGTAGATTTGTCCCCCTCCAGGTAAAAATGTCCCCCTGCCCATGGAGGAAGGAATTCCTTCCTCCATGCCCTGCCCAACGGTGAAAGTGTCCCCCTGGTAAATGTGTCCCCATGCAGCTGTGCAGTATATACTGAGAGCAGCATGCGTGTCGCGCGCGCGCCAGTACACGCTGCAAGATATGTGGCAGTGATTATCACATGTGTACATATGCGTCTCTTTCTACAATGGAAATTCATCCAATAGGAAATTTCGTTAGCGCTATGATGGGAACACAAACCAATCCAAGTAGGCGTTGTGTCGATGCGACGAGGGCCATCGCCATGCATCGCCGCTGTGTTGACCTATAATTGCGGTAGGATCGCGATAGGCACCGTACCCCGAATCGAAACATTGTGTTCACATAAAAAATTATCATATAATAGACCAAATTAAATATTTTTACATTCATGAAGGGCAGACTAAAAGTCCAAAATGTATACCTTGTAGAGTGAATTCACAAAACAATAAAGAGAACTGGCCTTCCGGGTTTCAAAAGAGGGGGACAAAAAAAAACCGGGGGGGGGGGACGACAGAATTACCTGGAGGGGGACATAAATACCTGGAGGGGGACATAATTAACGGGCCGGGGAGGACACTTTTACCTAGGTAATTCTGTCCCCAGGACACTTTTACCGGGGGACAGAATTACCTTCCACACCGGCAGCTTTCTATACAGAACCTCGTTGGCTCGGGGTTTTGTGCGTAAACCTTTTTGTGCGTAAATCAGTCAGCCGATCACTACGGAAGTGTATTAAGGACATGACCAAAAAAAAAAATGTCCGGCCCTCTATTTCGCCCGGGCGGATTACTAATTTGCCCGGGCGAATTATTATTTCGCCCGGGCGGATTACTATTTCGCCCGGACGGATTAGCATTTCGCCCAGGCGGATTACTATTCCGCCCGGGCGGATTACTATTTCGCCCGGGCGGATTACTATTTCGCCCGGGCGGATTACTATTTCGCCCGGGCGGATTACTAATTCGCCCGGGCGGATTACTAATTCGCCCGGGCGAATCCGGCCGCGGAGAATTAGTAATCTGCACGGGCGAATTAGTAGTCTGCCCGGGCGAATTAGTAGTCCGCCCGGGCGGAATAGTAATCCGCCCGGGCGGAATAGTAATCCGCCTGGGCGAAATGCTAATCCGTCCGGGCGAAATAGTAATCCGCCCGGGCGAAATAGTAATCCGCCCGGGCGAAATAGTAATCCGCCCGGGCGAAATAGTAATCCGCCCGGGCGAAATAGTAATCCGCCCGGGCGAAATAGTAATCCGCCCGGGCGAAATAGTAATCCGCCCGGGCGAAATAGTAATCCGCCCGGGTGAAGTAGTGGGCCTAAAAAATATTTTCAGTCATGTCCTAAATACGCTTCCGTAGTACGCGCTATATATTGACTTCGGCCAAACCGCAACTCCCATCATAAGGAATAAGTTAACCGGACCATTTTTTTCCCAAGAGTGTGTCTCTAATGTGTAAGGTGTTTAAATCTACAGTCCATCAATATAATGTAATTTGTACATTTTGTTCGTTTGAAGCAACAAAAGAGTTCAAAATCTAATGAAGGATACTGAGCAACTAACCTGATGAAGTTTCAGCTAAGCTTCAGCTGTACATTCCGAAAAAACAGCATTCTAAGATCTCAATTTCAAATCAAAAGTTACTGAATCATGTTTTGAATTGTTTTGAATTGCAGCTATACGCGGCGTCGCGCACTGATCCGACGAATTATAACAACCGCGCGCGCGTGTGCGTCGTTCCAATACTTGTGCGCGCTGCGCTGAATAACAAAACGAACTACTAATTTAAATTTTCCTACGGTGCTTCTTAAGAATCACCGTTGGAAATGCCTTCTTTCGTTGATTACTTCAAAATGACAGCTTCCCAGAAAGAATAATTTCAGAGGGAGTTTAGTCCCCTTATTACTATCTTTCAACCAAGTTTGTTTTTTAACAGTAATTACGCCAGTTACTTTTCGGATGGCTGCAAATGATGGACTATAGCTTTAATGGACCGATCCAGTAAGCACCGCCCCATGGTGTTCTGACCAATCACAGCCGTGATTTATGTCCGACATGCGCGCACAAAAGTCCGACATGTGTGCACGCGCGTATGATGCGCGCGGAAGAAAAATGCAGCGTGGCATTGGAGAGGAGCACGTGTTAATTTGCCCACGTGCGCAGTGGGCGGAGCTTACTGGATCGGTCCATTTTCCAGGGGGCGAGTCGGTCGGGGGCGAGTCGGCTAGGAAAGGCAAGTCGGCGAGGGGGCGAGTCGGCCACGGGGGGAGTCGGTCAGGGGGCGAGTCGGTCAGGAGGCGAGTCGGCCAGGGGGCGAGCTTGTAAGGGGCGAGTCGGTCAGGGGGCGAGTTGACCTGACACCGTGCATGAAATGGCAGCCAACATGTCTCAGACCCAGGTTCGTTCATGTATTTCTAACAATAACATTGTGCCCTGTTGAATCAGTGAGAGAATTAATGATAAAAGCTGACAAGTGAGAGAATTAATGATACAAAATCTTATGTAAAGGGGAAAGAATGTTGCAACCTGACGCCACTTCAGCGGCTGTGTACAAAGTCTATGGAGATTCAATCCTATTTGGTATTTCAGTGGATATTTTGCCGGAGACGGCAAACCTTCAGTAAACGTTAGTTTGCCGGATATAAATGCACTGAACATGCGCAGTTACTGTTGTTTTGTACTTGAACATTTTCCGGTCACAAATTTTAGTCTGGCTCCATGCCAATATTATCGTTGTATTTTTGTAATTACAAGATGGGAATCAGACCATTTTATAACTTTGGACTTTATTTCCCTTTAAAAAAAATCCTCCAGAGCCACAAATCTGAAAAAGAAAAATTAATACTCTGCAATAAAATGTTTTGAGACATTTTAAAATAATAAAAGAAGAATATTCTTATTAATTTGGGGATGGGAAAAAAAACCCTTAAAATTGTGGCGGGGATCAGGATTCGAACTCGGGACATCCTAGTCACTAGAGCCATTGCTTAACCATTGCACCGACTGTGCTACACAACTTTGGTGGGAATTTAATACATGTTATAATTCAGCCCTATCTTAAAGAGTACAGCGCCCTCTGTTGATATGGATTGCCGCCGGCAAACTTTTAGTAAACGTTAGTTTGCCGGCGTTACCTCCGGCAAAATATCCACTACCTATTTAAAATGTTTCTTCATTGACATCCAAGATTCATGCAGAACCACAATTGACACCAAATTTACATACTGCTAAAAAAACGTGTAAATGCATGACAATATTTTCTTTTGATTTTTGCTATTATTAATGATGTTCTTTTTAACATTCATTGCATTGCCACTTGTATTTTGATTATCTTAGTCTTCAGTCAGTTCTTCGCATCCAAGTCTTGAAGAAGCAACAAGAGTTTACAGAGATGTTGCAGCAGTACCTACTCCCGCAAAGGCTACTCTGCTCCAGACAAAAGAGGGCGCACTCTCTGTTATAACTGACTGGAGCCAACGAGATTTGGAGAGATCGGAGAAAGTGAGATTTCAGTCGGTCCACTTGGTTCTCCCAGGAGAGGGAAATAAGTTAGGAAGAGTTATCAACGCGGGACACTCTGCAGAGGTTAAGGCAGAGTAAGTGTCTATAATGTCGTGAGTCTTGTGAGAATCAAGATCTTGCTGTTTTAGATTCGTGTATATATTTTGAGCTGTTTTATGGGTTGCTATCACTGATCTCTATGTAAAGACTGGATAGCGGATATGCATACAACATTCACACAGTAGACTTTGCATATTGGCCAATTCGCCCCCAGTCTCACGAAGATGGCCGCGTATAATACGAACGTTCTACGCGTAAATACGCGCGCGTTGTATCAACAGTTGACGCGCATTTTGGTCACGTACACATATTATGATGTTCTAAAAGGGACACATTTCCGTAGTGATGATTATTTCAAAACACCGAAAAAGTGATATTTGCGGAATTTTAGTAACCACGACGTTAGAAAAATTGTAGTTAACCTTGGTCAGTGGAGGTGGTCAAAATATAAGTCAAGTGAACCGCGACGTTACAAAAGAAATCATGCTGTCTATAAAAACGGCAACTTGTCCTTTGTAGATCACCAGCCGGTCTCACCAATATGGCGTCAAATTCATTCATTGTGCAGCTCTTTATTAGCTATCCAGTCTTTATATAGAGATCAGTGGTTGCTATGCAGTGTGCTACATTGCAAACTTTCCCCCAAAAGCAATGCAACATATTTCATTTTATCCATAAATGGACCTGCCTCACTGCTATACTGTGAGCAGCTTTTCTGTAACCTGGTTATCTGTTATATCTGAGGACTTTGAACAATGGGCTACTTGTGCTAACAACCTTCTGAGGACCTGAACCCAAGTCCTCCGAAGGTTTTCGTGTGCAGTGGAGTGCTGTGGCCTTGTGGTTAAGGGCATTGGATTCATGGTCTGCGAGTAAAGCTGCAGGTTGTGGGCTCAAGTCTAGCCTGGGGTCATGGTGCGTGTGCCCTTGAGCAAGGCACTTTGTCACTCATTGCTTCTGTCCACCCAGGTAAAATAGGTACCTGTGAGGGCAGAGATGGTTATTGTGATTAAATTAGCTTCCTTGCATCTAACAGGCAGCATTGAGCTATAAACACCCCAGGGAGCTGAGATGGTATTTGGAATGCTTCATTGGCCCAATGAGCAGGGGTAATAATGATGTAGCGCATTGAGCACCAGTCCGGGTGGATATGTGCGCTTTATAAAAACCCACTATTATTATTATTATTACAAACATTATAGGACATTCAAAATCTGGTTTTTGCCCTTCACTGACGTATAAACACTGTATACTCAGTGTATTACCTCTCGAGTGAGAAAAAATCACTCGAGTGGGACTCGAATCTACTACATGTACCTCCTGCTTTCTATCGCAGACGTTTTACCACTCTTCCGCTGAGCTTGCCGGAATCGGTTGGCTGGTTCGAATCTGATATAGCAGAGGGTACCGCAATGAAACTGTTCACAAGATGGAATTTGCGTCGGGGTGATGTACATGTATATTCAATTTTGAATTCAATTTTGAATTTACATGTTGTACATATTGAATTTACATCAATCTGATGCAAAATTCCTTCTTACAAAGCTTAGGACAAAAAATAGGAACGAAAGAAGGGAACAATAACGGTCCTTGGAAGTAGAGTAAACCAGACTTGGTGTGTACATGTAGGTGCGTGGTACAACTATAGAATGCAGGGCCACTTTACTCTACATCCACGCCTCCGTACGGCTGCGTGGAGGCGTGGAGCCGCAGTCGACCTACCTCCGAAAATCGATCGTGGAGTCGTGGAGCCGCAGCTCAGTCGATATCTCCGAGAATTGCGCCCTCTATCGGTGCGCGTCTCTGCGACTCCGCGCCTCCGCCACTCCAGTGCCCCGCGTCTCCGCGACTAGACTCTGCGACTCCCAGACTCCGCGCCTCCGCCACTCCAGACAGTGCCCCGTTGCCCTCCTCCCTTCCTAATTTGCGAGCCCATTTAAAATGGATACGGATGCTTCGTTCTCAAAAAATTCCGCCGAGAATTGCGCCCTCTATCGGCGCGAGTCTCTGCGACTCCGCGCCTCCGCCACTCCAGTGCCCCGCGTCTCCTCCGCGACTAGACTCTGCGACTCCCAGACTCCGCGCCTCCGCCACTCCAGACAGTACCCCGTCGCCCTCCTCCCTTCCTAATTTGCGAGCCCATTTAAAATGGATACGGATGCTTCGTTCTCAAAAAAATTCCGCCGAGAATTGCGCCCTCTATCGGCGCGAGTCTCTGCGACTCCGCGACTCTGCGCCTCCGCCACTCCAGTGCCCCGCGTCTCCGGCCGCGACTAGACTCTGCGACTCCCAGACTCCGCGCCTCCGCCACTCCGATCCGTACCGTGCCCCCAACACGTTTACAAGCACGCCCTCCCTTCCGATCCTTCATGAGAAGCTTAGAAGACAAGTGCATTCGCTGTACTTAGCACTTTTTGCAGGTTTGCATATCTATTACTCCTATCCATCCACGCCTCCAAGCAAATTAAAAAACCTTGCTCCGGCGTGGCCCTGCATTCTATAGTTGCTCCAGGTGCGTTAGCAGTAATCTGGTACATGGTACCCTGTGGAGACATGTGCATAATAGGGAGCAAAAGATTGTTTATGTCTCCACAGAGCAATTTCTATAGATGATTGTGTCTCCACAAGGTTATCGCAAAAAAGATATATGGATTTTACTCTAAAACTAGGAATTTCCAAGGTGGGTTGATCTGTCGCAAATTGAAGTATTTTATGTACAGGATATTAATTCTGAATTTCATTAATTATTTCTGGTTAGGCCAAAAGAAAAAAATATTCGGTCTCTGGTCAGACCAAAGTTCCGGAATTGACGCGGCCACGCGGCTTTTCTTTTTTTTTTTTTTCTTTTTTTTTTTTTCTTCAAGCTTGAAATGTACAGACAAGGTAGGTACTATTTTGCTTTTTTGGTGTCCTCATGTACATTGGTGCCCTCCATAATTTGCCTTGGTGCTTTCGATCATTTGCCTTGGTGCAATTTCCCATTCCTTGGTGCTCTTTGGTAAAAAAAAATTGAGGAGGACCGACTTATTTTTTGGGGGGGCCTTACAATAGGAGCATTTTGAAACTACCCTTGCAAACTCGAAAACTTTAGGACACGAGAACAAAAAAATGACTCCACAAGCATGACAAGGATACAAATTCCAGTATGTGTGACCACATTGTGGGGTGGTATGTTTTATTGTTGGGGGAAATTAGGAGGGAGTTGTGGGGACTTTTAACAATACCGGTAACTATCGCTAGTGTGGTGCCCACAGCTACAGAACAGGTAAGTATGTGGGTGTGCTTTCTGGTGCCAACATGGCCTTCTGCCTGTACCTTACTACAAAGTTACATTTTTGTATGTCAAATGGCAAGAGAAAAACTAGCACACTTTTTTTTTCTCAGATTACTGAGCAGTGTGAGTCCTTCTGGAGCTAAGCGGGCAGTCATTAGGGAAGTCAAGAACAAGAAGGGAGACGAGAAGCAATATGTAGAGGTCAGTGGCTCAAGGAATACTGCCATCTTGGATTTATCTCATTGTATTGTGCTCTTACTGGTAATTTTGGAACTGGGTACCTGTTGCTGTATCAGTCATGAGGTACTTGTCTCTATGGCTGGCAATTTCCACAAGGCCAGCCCAGCAGTCAAAATAAATCAAGTGACTTTAACAGTGGAGTGGTCCTTGCCTTCATCATGTCGGCTGCAGGCGGGAACCCCTTCGGCGTCTCCAATCTTCCCTATCCATTATGCAGGCAGCCAACTCTGTTGTGGTCTCCGCCCCGGCATCTCGTCCTCTGTCTTCCCCTCAGCTTCAGCCCATGAGTCGGTTCCCACAGCACTAGACGGCTTGCTGGTAGCTCAGGGTGTCTGCAGCAGTGCCCTGCCATGCCTATCCGCCTGTATGCGATCCTTTGTGAGATCCAAGGTAGCATGCTGTAAAGGGTGTTACTAGGCACGTGGTCTCTCTAGTCGATGTTAAGCACCATTCTCAACATTCTGGTGTAACACCCATCGAGGGACTTCTGAAGGGTCGTGGTTAAGGACGTTCATAAAATAGGATTAACTGGCTTTGATTGTTCTGAAACCTGTCATAGCTTTGCTTTGGCCAGCTAAGCCAGCTGTGTCTACCAGTCACCTGCTTTTGTTTGTTGATGGAATTTGGCTGTCACAGTGCCTACAAGAAATATGATCTAACTGTTGGTGACTAGCCTGTGCCCTGTGTAAAAAGCATGGTAGGGTAACAGGATTGGATTTTTGACTGACTGTGACTGATCAAACAAAAGGAGGGTAAAGGTTAACAATATAACAAGCTCAGAATACCTTCACAAATTCCTTTTCCCATGTGTTTTTCTTCTGTTAGGTATGGGATGCAAACCATAAACTTCACAACATAGATTTATCAGCACAGGAAAAGCACGGGAAAGTATATGAAGATGGTAGGTGTCTTGTTTAGTTTAAGCCATTTAGCTTCATTTGCAATTACCCAGAAAAGCATCTACCTATTTTAATTAATAAAGTTATGCTCTTGTGTTTGGCTGGTTTAAAACAAGTACATTTAAACCGGCTTGAGGCCTGGACGCGGATAATGGCCCGAGCCGAACATTATTGGCGACCAGGCCCCAAGCCGGTTTTAAACCTACTTGTTTAATACCTGCCAAGCACATATTTATTCTTATTCACATTAAATATCTTTCAGTCAAAAAGTCTGAACAAGTAAAAAATAAAAGATTATAGATTTCCAACGATGATTTTGTTCAACACATTTACTTCATGTTTTGAAGAACACCCTTCTAGCTATGTTCATGGTACATGTATGTGTCTCTGGGGAGTGGTACTAAAATCTCCTTAGATGGACATTGGCGCAAGCGTGGTGCATACTGTGCGAAGTGGCGCAGAACACAGCGGTGCTGTTGTAGTGTGAATTTAGGACTCTACAAAATACGGACTCATTGGTAGTATTGCGCATGAAGATTGTGAACGTTCAACCAATAAAAGGGTAAAAGTCCAAATTCATGTGACACCGGAAAATAGTGTTTAAAACCAGTTAGTGTTTTATCAACCCCTTCTAGCTCTGTTATGGTATGTCCCTCTCGCGAGTAGTCGTAAACAACTCCTTATATAGAGATTGGCGCACGTGGCGCGTACTGCGCGATGTGGTGCAGAACCCGGCGGTGGCAGTGTAGTGTGAATTTAGGACTCTCAAAATATGGACTCATTGGTAGTATTGCATGTATTCCTAAATGAAAATTGTGAACGTTCAAGCAATAAATGGGAAAAAGGGACCAGACTTCATAGAGTCCAAATTTCATGTGACATCAGAAAAGTGTTTAAAACCAGTAATGCACCTAGCTGGTGTTTTATTATCCGTTTAAAGCCAGCCATGTGATGGATAAACTGTCTTAGGTATTATGAATAGCTTATTAAGCTTTTTCATTAACTCAAAATGTCATATTTGCTACATCGGACTCATTTCTACAGAGCACGTCACAATTATTCACAAGTATTGTCTTAACATTGGTGCATTTTGATTTAATTTTTTTCAAGAGTTGTTTGGCAGTTTGGCCTGGGATTCATCAGAGACACGTCTGGTGTACATAGCAGAGAAGAAAAAGCCTAAGACCATCTCATACTTTGACCCCAAATCCCAGACAAATGTACAGACTGAGGAGGAGGCTTCAGGAAAAGACAAGCCAGTCAAGGTAAAGGCCTCATTCCTGGTGTACATAGAGGGTTGGTTTGGTGCTAACACCCAGTAACACTTGTATTGGATATCGAAGGGCAATTCCATATTAAAGGGAATTCATGTACATCATTGGCTTTTTGCTGTAATTTTCAGAAATGAACTATTTGAGGGGTTAGTATAATAGATCAAATATTGTTTAACTGAAATGTTTGAAGTTTTGTGTTCGAAAATGCTTGAAAAACCAAAAAAACAAAACAAAAATGTTTAAGTAGTCTGGTTCCCTTACTCCACTAAAGATAAAATGTATCAATTTATAGAGGTCGGAAAATTGTAAGGTAACGGAACCAGTCTAGCTGGCCTGCACCCGTTCATGAACATGTAACCAATAGCAAACAAAGTTTGGACTGAAAAAAATTGTAAATTTGGAGCAGTAGTTGAAAAATAGTTAGGTTTTTCCAACGGTGGTCAGCCGACCACCGTTGGAAATGTATACAAAAATACCATTTTTTTGACGATGACTTCACACCAGGTGCCATAATTTTACAGGATGTTTTAGACTGTCATTTACCAACATCCTAGTAAGGTATTTCGTAAAAACTTCGATGTTTGCAAATGCTGTAAAGTGGACATGGCTAAAAAGTGGAACATTTAATGAAATCTTGAGAACTACAAGCATCGCAACGTCAACTGTGATATCCAGTCAAAGGGAACATAAATCTTGTCAGTGTTTTTAATAAACAGATCTAATAATTTAACCCTAAATAGTTAATAAAAATGGACACAAATTGATACAGGTTTGCTTTCTGAATTTAATTGTTTATTTTTTCCTGTCCTTTCATCATTGCTGTATCCCAATCATTTTTGACTCGCCAGCCAGGCTATTGAAGGAAAAGTTTGACTGAGCCTGCCGCTGTTTTGACTAGCATTTGGCTAGCGGGCTACCTCTAAAGTCGAACCCTGAAATGTAACGTGAGATACATGTACCATGGAATTGCCCCATGAATCTGTAAAGTCAGATACTGGATGTGAAATACAACCTTGCTGCATCAGGAATATGTGCTCTAGGAATTGTGTGCCTGATCATCAGGGGTAATAATTTTTAAAGCCTTGGCGAAAGGCTAGATGTCAACTGAATAACTAATGATTGGTTGGAATTTTGTCCTCTTAGGATCTGTATTGTAGGTACATAATGTGCTTTTCCTCATTGACTCTCTAAGAAAGCATTGAGCTTATTCAAGCATAATAACATTGTGTTGATGAGGGACCATACATTGTTCTACAACTTTTTTGTTGTATTCTGTAGGGAGATGAGAATGTCCTTTATGAGGAATGGGGTGAAACACTGGTATCCAAACATCATCCTGTGGTCTGTGTACTAGACACCGAGAACCAGACTATCAGCATACTGGACTCTGTACCAGATGAAGTATCTGCAGGACATGTAAGTAGTTATTCCAGTGAGGAAAATGTTACTGACAAATGAGTAATTGACTAAAATGGTAACCTCTTCATGTGGGCATCAGGCACCATTGGCAACGCGATGAAGAGTTCAGTGGTCTCAATTCTCTCGTAGTAACTGCTGAGCAGTTCTTGGGCATGGAGTCCATAGCGATGAACACAAATAATTTGCTTGCGTTGAGATGGAATCGTCGGCATCAAGCACAAAAGTCGTGCTCAGGTTACAAAACTGCAAAATTGTGTGATCATCGTGGAAGCAGCGGCATCTCGACACAGAATAATCGCACCTTTGATATTTATCTTTTGTAATTATTTTTGATTCAGTTTTTATAAAGCAAGGTAAAGAAACCACTTAAATGAAATCTTCATCCATGAAATCTGAGTATTCAATACTAAATGCATACTGCATAGCCCTACTGGTGTCTTTTGGTACAGGGTTTTGTTACTAGAACCACTTCACTTTGTTGTCATACACAAATATTTCTGTTGTGTTTATTCAGTAGATGGCTTGTTTTGTTTGCGGAAGTTTGTTAAAAACTCGATAGCTTATTTGTTCATTCACCAAAAATGTTTCTGCAATATTAGTGTCTTTTTCTCTCTCACAAACAGGCAATATGGGCTCCCAATGACTCTGGCATTGTATTTGTTGGTTGGTTTCATGAACCATACAGACTTGGTGTGAGATACTGCTATAATAGAAGGTAGGGGATGATTGTTTTGGGGGAGTGTGGCCGAGTGGGTAGGGCTTGCAACTCATGATCAGAAAGTCATGGGTTCAAATCCAGTCACTGGCCATATGTTGTGTCCTTGGGCAAGCCACTTCATCCCCACTTGCCTCTCTCCACCCAGGAGTATAAATGGGTACCGGCATTAGCTGGGGAGTAACCTGCGATGGACTAGCATCCCATCCAGGGGGAATAGAAATACTCTCAGTCGTTTCATGCTACTGAAACCAGAGATAAACATCGGCCTGATGGACCACATTGGCTCGTGACAGACTTTACTTACTATTTTAAAAACCTGCTTGTTAGTCTGTGCCTGTAATTGTTTTTCTTTTCTTTTTCATTTTATGAAATTGAGCTTTGAAAATCATAGTGCATAGGAATACAGTTATGTTAGGTGGCATAGTTACAGTGAATGAATCGAAGATTCTGAACTACCAGTAGTTGACAAACTAGTTCGCCTCGGGAACTAGTTTGTCAGCTTCCAATACTGGTACCTCACGGAGTGAATATTGTCTGTCCACCCTCAAACCATGTAATATTTGTATACTGGTGTATAGATTGTAATGTGGTCTACCACCTACTCATAGATGAACGCATTACATGTTTTCTATTCCTGCCAGGAGTGCCTTGTACTTTGCCCAGTTTGAAGGCAACAGTTGTGGTGAGTCCATTATTGTTTCTTGAAAATGTTGATACTTGTGTTTGTTGTATTTGTATACTAACAAATATGGACCACATGTACTTGTATATTTACATCTTCTCTTGTTAAGCCGTTTGAGGCAAACATTGTACCCAATTTGAGCAATTTAGCTTTTGTCCTTCATTATTAAATATAAGCCAGTTTAGTATTCCGACTTTCTTTGATGATTTTCCTTTCCTTGGTTAACAATTTACCACATGTGTGGATAGTTATACAGGATACTGACAAAATTGAAGAAAGCTTCTTGTTATGGACTCTTTAAGTACAAAACATCAACAAGTTTTGCACTGCACCATGTTGCACAGTATTGTGTATGCTCCAAGTGTCAAGAAAAGTTTCCATTTTCTTTTGATTACGAATGGAAAATTACGGATCGCATTTTTGGCACATTTATCCGCTGTTTTCAGTCCCAAGTAAAATTTGTGAAAACTTTATGTGCACATGCATTGTAGAAATACCAAATTGGCTAGTGTACTAGCCCAGGTGGACTCCCTTTTCTCCCTACGTTACGGAGGGAGTCCAGGGTATGAAGTGCTCAAAACCGGGCGAATATTTTCAATATTTTTTACCTTGTTGGAGAAGCCAATTTTTACGTCGTAGTATTCTATGTGTCCTTATCTATGGTATTGGGCCGCTGGGTTCAGAAATTCCATTTGCGATGCTGACCGACCTTAATCAGGAAAATAAAATCTAAAGCAACGTTAAACTTGTACGTGTTTGTAGACTCTTTTCATCAGTTTCTCACCGCCGAGTCTATTCTAGTCGTACATGACGTACGTCCGTGCAGCGTGTAGTCTGGTTCCCTAGACCTGACAATTATTCTCGGCGCTCATATCACGTCTGGTCTGGGAGCCAGACTATGCAGTGTGAATATGCAGTGCGCACGCGCGATTTGCTTAGTAACCACCCTCATACGCACGCGCACTTACTTGAATCTAATCATCACTAATCCAATGACCGAGCGTGTTTTTGCGCCAGTTACCAGAAACATGTTTCGGCTTTGGTCATTGGTTGAGCGTTTTCGTGACGTCGGTTGGCTGGAGTGACGTCACTGTTCCAACCAAAACTAAACAAATGAGGGCGCTAGCGTGCGTGCGTGCTTTCGTGCGCACGTACATGACGTACGACTCGGAAATAAAACTGATGAAAAGAGACTACAAACACATACAAGGTTAACGTTGCTTTAGAGTTTATTTTCCTGATTAATGCCGGTCAGCATCACATATGGAATTCCTGAACCCCTGGATCGATAGAGAAGGACACATAGAAAATGTAGGTGTGAAAAAGCTTCTGTAACGAGGTAAAACGTAACAAAAATCTGGTCCAAATTTTGGGTGGTCTTGTGTAGAGAATTCTCATCCTGGACGTCAGTCGTAATGCAATGAAGACTTCGTCCAACCTGGGCTAGCTAGTGTACATTTGTTTTAAAAAGTTAAAAGAAACAAATTCAAACAGAAATGCATTACAAATCTCGACTGTCGTATTAAAAATTGCCCATTGTTATATTTCCCATTTTTATATGAGTTTTTTTTTTCTGCATGTTCTTCTTAGAATTCTAGAAAATTCAAATTGTAGGGAGTATATTTGATTTTTTGGGGGGCTTAGTTTGATTTCTTAAACCTTGCATTTTGTTAACAGAAGCCCTTAGTAGAACAGACTTGGCTTTGTGGTGTCCACGTTTTAGTCTGGACAAAACTAAGTTGGCGTACTTATGCAATGAAGTCGGGGGACCGCACCGGCATTGCGGCCAAGTCGTTGTGGTAAGATTGCATTCAAAATGTTTTGTTTAAGTCACAATGGTTTTTTTGATTACTTTTTTTGCGAACAGAACTACTGAGCACGACGGACAAAAGTATATGGTGCCCCCGATTTAGCCTGGATAAAAGCAAGTTAGTTTACTTGTGTAATGATGCTGGGGGACCCCATCATCATTGCAGTCAGGTTGTCATGGTAAGGGCCAATTATAGACCTCAAAGGAGGTCACATGACCAAAGGAGGGGTGCTCTTCCCACAGTGTCGTTGTTTAGTCACGTTTTCTCTCTTTGCCTTCAAATTTGAATCTCGTAATCCTTTATTTTTGTGTGAATTTAGTTATTACCTTAACTAAATACACAGTTAATATTGTTGTATCCCCGTAACAAGGTCGTATCTCCTAAAATGGGCCGACGTGAAACGCAAGTTTCAGAATGTCAAAAGGTCGTATCTCACTTAAAATAACCCGGATGTACACACAAAGTCAACTGACGTCGATATGATCTTGTTGCACGGAGCGTATTCGCGCGAGACATGACTTTGTTGCAGAATGGAGTTACGACTTTGTTGCACTGATGCGGCAATATGTAATAATATAGCGCTTTATACTTAAGGTTTCAAAGTGCTTTACAATTATCATCTCTGTTCATCAGGAATGAGCCCTTTTTTTTGTCGTTACCTTCACAGGTACCCATTTATGCTCCTGGGTGGAGAGAGGCATTTGTAGTAAAGTGTCTTGCCCAAGAACACAAGCTCCATGTTCCCAGTCAGGGTTCAAACCCTTGTACCACGGCACATGAGTCAAACACTAAACCATCAGACCACAGCACCCCAATATCACAATATTCGGAACAAGCACAGTGCCAGCATCCTCCAAATCTGGAATGCTTGTTTTCATTGTACCGTGCATTGATACTTATTAGAATTGGTGTATAATTAGGCCAAAAAAACATAAGTCTCCGGTTTCTGGTATGGAGCTTGTCCAAAAAGTGGTGCGGCGACGCGGCTTTTTTTTTTTTTTTACCTGACTTTTTTGCTTCAAATGTCGGCTGATTACTGCAAATGGTGCCCGACTAAACTTAGCGCAAATATATGGGAGTCCAGAGAGGCCACATAAAGCTTTTTCTCGACCATAACCCAATCTAAAAACACGTTAAAATTGTGCAGTAGCAGGATTCCAGTCAAACCAGTGAGTTTGGCGGTTTTGAGACATCATCTTTCATTGAAATTTTTTTTTTTTCATTTTCCCGACGCGCATGGCTACGGCGACGCGCGCGCATACCAGAAACCGGAGACTTTTTTTTTTTGGCCTTACCCATGTTTATTTTTATATTACAATATTCGTCTGTTGTGAACATTGCATTGGTACTTGGCATCCCTCACATAACACAACAGCCTCTCCAAACCATTGTGATACACATTATCTGCTGCATGACAAGTTCAAAGTTAATGTGTCTCAAAACCTGACATTTTATAAAACCTGTTTGCCAAATATTATTCACATTTCACCAACAAGAGAAATACATGTAGGTTACTTGCAGACTTTTTTGTTATCTGTTTCTTACAGTATGATTGGGCTTCCAAGAAGACCACAATTGTTGTAGACACTGTGCAGAAACCTACAGGTACGACTAGACTCTGGATATAAGTATGAAATTGATAACACTTTTGATTAGAAGATATAAACTTAATTACAATATTTAGTGTCACAGATGTGTCCCATAGCATAATCACTAGTCTAGGGGCTAGACGTCGTTATGGTTTGAAAAGCGATAACACACCGCAGCGATAACCCGCTGCTGCAAGAGGGCACTATCATGACCAACCAATATCACCCATGAACCCGTCAGAACAACGTCTAGGCCAATTCCTATTGGTTGTGTAATGCACGCGCACCTGTTTGGCCTATTAAATATATGTGATGCGATCAAGCTAAATGAGTCGTTTGTCGGGAATTGTTATTTGGAGATACAGGCCAAAATAAGATCACTTCATCGCATCACTTCTTGACATCTCTTGGTGTTCCGACTTCCATAATTTAAAAGATGGTATCAGCATGCGATTTTCACAGCAGTAATGCTGAGATTGTGCTCTTTTCAAATCTGTAAAAAAATAAAAATTGACCAGGGTCGACAAACGGCTCATGTAGCTTGATTGCATCACATATGTAGCGTGTATTAAAAAAATCATAGTAGTTCCGAAGCAAACTCTCAAATTTCTTCCAGTTATGTGAAAGATGCAGCAAGACATTTGTGCAGCTTCACTGGTCAGCTCTTTTGTTGTGTGTAGTATGTGTGAGACTGAACATGAACAGTAATTGCCTGCAGAAGTCGCGCATGCGCACTAGTTACCCTCATTTTTCGGGGGGGGGGGGGATTTTAGGAAGTGGCCTCGATGTTGGTACTGACAAGTCTGTGGGCAATATTGGTTGGTCGTGATAGCGCCCTCCGGTGGCGGCAGGTTACTGCTGAGGCGGGTTATCGCGTATCGAACCATAAAAAAGTCTAGCCCCTAGACTACATAATCACATATTCTAGGTTATCTCAATTATCTGCACATTGCACAAAGGCACATCCGAGGGTGTTTCACAAAGATTGTCAAACCATTAATGTTATTTTTCAACAGAAAGTCAGAATCAACCTTAGCAAAAAATATGCGACCAAGAAGATTAATTTGCAAATTTAATGGTTAAAGATTAATCGTTTGTGAAAATAAATTGATTGTTAGGAAATTGAAGATTAATTGTAAAGTTCAGTTTTGTGAGATAATCTCAGTTCACTTCAAGTTTGTTTGAGTTACATGTTGGGAAATACAATATTAGAAATTATTATTTATATCAGGCTTCCGGCGGTAAAAATAAATCAGCATATTGTATGCTTTCATAAAAAGTTGACTGCAATAACATTGTTATTGCAGTCAATCCGGGCATTTTCGCAGGTTCCCGCTTGATCAAGAGCATAGAAAGTCACAGTTGTCAACCACTCAACAGAGCGTAGCGCGCGCGCGTACCGTCGAACACGGAACACGCTGCGCGCATGCAGCGCGCAGAAGGCCAGGTATATGCGTACTGTTGTTAACAATTACAGTGGCAGCTTCAAAACGTTTGATGTGAACGAAAAAGATGTAATGAAGACAGTGTCTTGAATTGTGCTTCTTGTGGATCAAGTCAGCCTGATATAAATAATAATTATAATATTGGATGGCTTGTTTTCGGTGGATACAAGAATATATTGCACTCGCTATGACAATATTGCACTCGTCTTCGACTCGTGCAATATTGTCATAGCTCGTGCAATATATTCTTGTATCCAACTCAAAGCCATCCAATATTATATAATTATAATATAGCATAAACATCTGTAAATTACTCATATGTATTTTTGGTTCACTTTGTCATTTAGCTGGCTCCCCCTTCCCTGGTATCTACATCTTTGGTGTTAATCCAGTGGATAAATGCTGGATGAGTGATAACAAGCGTCTTGTGATGGCCTCTTTTTGGGGAAGTAAAGAGGTAATGCACTCAATAAGCTGTATCCATGCGTGTCCTGTTAAGTAACCAGTTCCACTTTTATTCAATTGAAATTTATAATAACTTACATCAGCAAAATTAACTTTGTTTTCACCTTTGCACATCAGTGACTTCATCAATGAATAGAGTTTTAATTTTTATATGCATTGCTAACCATATTTCCAAATCTTCCTTTTTTAATATTACGCAGGAACTTCTTGTCATAAACACAGAGAAGTGTTCAGTGACCAGATTGACCTCTGACCCCATCTTTGGGGCATGGACTGTGCTTGATATTATGGATGATATCATACTAGCCACACGCTGTGCTCCAAACAGACGGCCAGAGTTGGTGAGTATGAAGGAGTGTTTTACTAAAATCCTTTGGAAATTCTAGGTGTAGTTTGCTTAAAGGGAATATACATCATTTGCTTTTGCTGTAATTTTCAGAAATGGATGGAATTGAGGGGGTTGGAAATATATAGCAAATATAGTTACACTGACTTTTTTGAGGTTTTGGGTTCGAAAATGCTATAAAAACCAAGAAAAACAATCATGTTCCTGTAGTCTGGTTCCCTGACTCCATATAAGAAGAAACAGAGCAGTTTACATACATTGGGGAATTGTAAGGTCAGGGAACCAGTCTAGCTGGCTTTTACCCGTTCGTAGGTGTGTAATCGATTGCAAACAAGTGCGATGGTCAATTGGGGCCAGTATTTGAAAAAAAGCCAACGCTGGTCTTGGAAATTGATACAAAAATACCACTTTTCTTGAAAATGACAGTATACCAGGTGCCATGATTTTACAGGATGCTTTACACAGTCATTCACTAACAGTCCAGCAAGGTATTTCAAAATGATTTGGTAGTTTTATTTTTTGATGTTTGCAAATGTTGTATTTTCCCTTTAAGTAAAACAATGATTCACTGACAACAATGTTAGGAAGTCATTTGACACCATGGTTACATAAGATCAACAACGCTGAGTTGTTTTCATTTGGTATTGGCATCCTTGTAAAACTAATTTGGCTGTGTTGAAACTTCCCAAGTCATCTTTCAGCCCAGCACTGTAACATCACAGTCGCAGTAACTTAAAGTTGTATTCCCCGTCGTATTTTTGAGTTTCATCCCAACAAATAGAGTCCTTTTCATTGCTATTTTACTAGCAGTACAAAAGTTATCCAAAAAGAGACATCGACCCCCTCAAAAATCGACCCATACTTAGTTATTGACTCATTTCTTTACAAAATTATGAATTAGCTGCGGCTTGACAATCATTCTGTTACCGCGGGATAGGCTGGTTCCCGCCTCACAATCATTATTGACAACGTTAGACGTGGAGCCAGTCTGATCGCAAAACATATCTTTTGTGCCCAAAACAAAAGCTTTTTTAGAGGGTTGCAGACCCCTCCCCAAAAAAGGAGGGTTTTTTTAAGAGCACTGTAGGAACAGATCTTTAACAGGAACATTAGTTGTGCAGCCGTCCCCACTGGACTTAATTTTAACCCAAATGTCGGGACTATTGTTTTAGTGAAGTTCTTCATGTAGCACTTTCAAAATCTAGGATATGAAAGCCCAATTCATAAGCTTTCTTTTAGTACAAAAATCATTCAAATCACTTATGCGCTTTTCAAGTTAAAACACAACCACCGTTTTAAAGTTCTGCCCACGGATCACACAAAAGATGTACCTTTCAGCAAAACGAAAACAATTCACACACATCCCTATGTGATTTTTTTCATTTTGCTGAAAGAACACTTACCTTTTTGTGATACGTGGACAGAACTTTAAAACGGTGCATGTGGTTAGAAATCCGTAACTTGAAAAGTACATGAGTGATTTGAATGATTCTTGTACTAAAAGAAAAGCTTATGAGTTGGGCTTTCATATCCTAGATTTTGAAAGTGCTACATGCAGAACTTCACTAAAACAATAGTCCCGACATTTGGGTTTCTCTTTTTTTTACTCGCCCTGTAGTTTCTCCCTTCCCTTACAAATAGTGTTTTCAACCTTGGACCCAATTGGCTGTTTTGTTTTAGGTGTTAGGTGAGCTACCATGTGAGGGGCATGAGTCTGGCATTGCCTGGATCTCACTAGATGCTAGTGCTGCCAACCCTGACGACCTACATGTATCCTGGGAAATCCTTCAACTCAAGGCCAAGACGCAACCAAATCCTTCACATGGTCAGTCCATTATTTTTCAGTGTCCTGATCAAGCGAGTCACGAGTAGCTACAAGTCAGTCACAAGTCCTGCAGTCTGAAGTCAAGTCACAAGCTATTCAAATGAACTGTAATAAAAGGCATTCCTTTGTCATTGTTCATCCCGTGTTGCTTTGTTCATCCCCTGTTGCTTTGAACTGACTTGTGGTTCAACATGAAAGTTGACCTGTGAATGACTTGTGCATTCCAACTCTGCAAGTTTTTTAGTTGAATACCATAATTTTAATGCCTGCTGTTCGGACATGTCTAAGTACATGCATGTTGGGATTGAAGGTGCACGTACTGTCCCCGCACACTGGAACCAGGGGGGGGGGGGGCCTCCTGCTCTGCCCCCCCCCCCCCCCCCCGAAACAAAATTATGACAATTATACTGGTAATGATGTCCGTCTGCGCACAAAATTCATACTGAGCCAGCTGGGGTACGGGGGTATTTGTACACAATTCTGTGATATAGTGTTCATGACTGTCTGATTTGAACAGCGCTCCCTCTGAAAGTATGGTACAACCCCCCCCCCCCCCCCCCGAATTGATTTTACAAAGGTCAAGTGTCCAGAGAAAAAAAAATGTCTACAATTCAGCATTTATTTGCTAATGGAAACCTCCCCCTCAGCCCCCCCCCCCCCCCCCCACAAAAATTCCTTGATCCGCCCCTGGGACCAGTATGCAGTATGCCATATCGCGGTGTGGCGCACGGCAGGCAACTAAAACTATTTACTGGCTTCTTATCAAATCTAGCTTTTTACACAATATATGCATGTCAAACTTTTCAGGGATCTGAAAAGTGCTGTGTTGATGCAGCTTGGTGCCCACCTGCTGATTGTGAAAAATATGATTGTGAAAAGCATGCAAACAATTCATATGACAGTCAATGCTACATTGATACCCAAAATGAAAAGATGTTTATTTATGCGTTGAATGAATGGTGAACTCTGCAGGTGTTGTTGACTATGAGGCCATTCTTCTGACGCCAAGCCAGACATCTAATGGAGGCTCACCACCACCACTTATTGTTCTACCGCATGGTAAGTCAGTATCTTAAAGGGAATGTACAACATTTGCTTTTGCTGCAATTTTCAGAAATAAATGGATTTGGAGGATTTGTATGTTATAGCCACTATTGTTACACTGACTTGTTTCACGTTTTAGGTTTGTAGATGCTGGAAAAACCAAGAAAACCAATCGTATTCTTGTCGTCTGGTTCCCTGACCCCACTTAAGATGAAACGGAGCAATTTATAGACTTTGGGGAATTGTAAGATCAGAGAATCAGTCTAGCAGACTTGAAGTCGTCACAGGTGTGTAATCCATTGCAAAGAAAATGCAGACGAACTAAATATGAAAAAAATTAAGAGCATTTTTTGAAAAAGAGCCAGTTTTCCCCAATGCTGGTCAGCCGCCCAGGGTTGGAAAAATACAGTTTTTCTTGAAAATGTCAGCACACCAGGAGCCACAACTTTACAGGATGTTTTAGACTGTCATTCCCTAACAATCCAGTGAGATATTTTTTGATAATTTGATCGTTTCGTTTTTTGATGTTTGAAAATGTTGCATCTTCCCTTTAACAGGGTAACTGAAGCACACAGTTAATATTGGTTCACGCATGCAGAAAGAAGCCCCGGTGATTTCCTCCATCCTTGTGCACACGGGAGGAAAGCAAATTTTTCACTTTTTATTTTGTGTCCCCAAAAAACCCACTTAGGCCAGAAAGTAATGCCTCTGGCGATTTATAGGGAATTTCTAGATACAAAAAGCGACAAATCCTGGACAAATTGAGGGAAATGACCCAACTGTTTGTAGCCCTGTACATTTTCAATGGACCGCTTTCGTTTTTTGCCGCCAGGCCCATTGATCAGATATGCAACTTTTCCGGTTTTAACTGGAATTCCGGATTTTACAAAAAATCTCACAAAATTCAGGTTTTTCTGGCCGTCAAAATAAACCGGAAAAAGGGAAGAAAAACTGTGGAAATGCGTTGATTTTTACCTCGTTAGCGCTCTCGATTTAGTACATTTAGGCGCACACACGGCACAACGTTGTTCGTTAAAGCAGTCTTAAAAACAGTCTTTGTTGTTGCCGAGCCTACATGCGATACAGGCAGTCGGCCAACGTACTTTCACATAGTATACAACGGCGCCTCGCGCGTGCTTCACCGCGTGCGGGCATGTTGTATGCTGAGCATACGTACATTCAGCCTGGAAATCAGGTTTATCATTTCAGTTATTGGTGGTTTCCGATCGCAGTCATATATGTGAATACAAAAAACGCCGGGCACATGTACCAACCATGTTTCCGTCAACGCATCGCGTAGTGCAAAAGTCCTGTACACCGACAGCAGTGTTGTGGAATCGTGCATGTTTCGTGCGCGTGTCGAAATTACGTTGAAAATTCGGGTAGGCAGAATAAATATTAGGAATTTTTTATTATCTCTTGTACCGGTAGGTGGTCCACACAGTGTACTATCGGCTGAGTATCTGCTGTCAGTGTCGGCGTTCTGTAAGCTGGGATTCGCTATTCTATTGGGTAAGAGAATAATACAGACTTTTGTATGTCTGAATTCAGGTGATTTGGCTGAGTTCTGTGATTCACTGGTAGTTTGCTAGTGCAATTAAATACACATATGTGGGACACACATGATAGTTGAATCAACATACTTAACCCTAACCGCCCTGAATCCTTCAAAATCCTCTTTGCCAAAGTGGAGGAATTTGGAGGATTGAGATTACATGGCAAAAGTGCGTTACTGATTTCGTAGGATGCACTTTTTCAAGGTCTTGGGCCGGACTTTGTGTTGTTTTTGCTCAGCCATGCATAAATATAGGCCTGGATTATGCTTGAAATCCTCCGTACTGCTCCAGGATGTCACTGGCCAAGTCTTGACAGTCACTGCCGCAGGATTTTGCAGGATTCAGGCAGTGGTCACCCCTCCATGGACCATATTCAAGAAATAATGGAAGAATTTGCAGGATTGAGGCTATATGCTATTTTTCCATGAGGCCAATTGGAGGATTTTGCAGGATTGAGGCTTCATCCTAGCAAAAAGGCCTAGGGAGTTGGGGTTAATCGGGGAAACTGTTACCCAGTGTTGTTTTTTTCTTATTTCTAGTGAATTACCGAGGCTCTTTAGGGTTTGGTCAAGCCAGTATCCTATCACTACCAGGTAACGTGGGACGACAGGATGTGGATGATGTGCAGGTATCTATCTCCATTTGACTTGAAACCAGGGACACGCGTCCTTTTTTTGTGCCAAGAAGATTATTAAAGGTTTCTTGTGTTGTAGTGACCGTGAAAGCTTCTTGCAAATTAAAAGTATGGATACGTGTATGCATACGTTTAGCTATTCGGAACCATTATCACCAATCAGTTGTTTTGCTTCATGTACACAAGGCAGTTGCTTAGTTATCGGGACTGTTACTAATCCAAAATGGCAGCCTTTGATGAAAGCCTAATGGTGCATATGTGTTTATCCTCTTTTAATCAATGATACATTAAACAACTTATCACAAGTGAGGGTGAAAATTGACAATTTACATGTACTATGAAGCATGGCACGTGCAATACCATGCCGTGCATCCGTTCACTTGCAAAATTATATTCGAAATTTGAAAATTTACTGAGAAAAGAATGGAATTACTTTCAGTATCTTTATGCAAAAAAAAAATGGCAATATGTAAAAATATGTTTAACCAAAATCTTAACTGACACCGCCTTATGTTTCTAAGGGAACCTCATATTATAACTAGACTCCCATGATGCCTTGCATTTCCCAGGATGCCGTGCTGGCAGCAGTGCAAACTGGGAAGGTTGATCAAGATAGAGTTGTTCTTTGGGGAGGATCACATGGGGGATTTCTAGTCACACATCTGATTGGTCAGTATCCGGTAAGTATATTTGCATATTGGTACCTGTCCTCCAATCAACAACCCTGACAAAGTTGATTGACGTTTCCTTTATATGGACTCCGTGCACAAGTACCCCCTCAACGGTTGCCAAGGGAGAGTTGGGGGAGACCACTGGGAGGAGCATTCGAACGCATTCCCAACAGCGTCTAGCACTCGAGCGAGGACGCCACTGTTTTCATACACATTCGAAACAAATAATCTTGCGTACTTCGTGCCATACATGCGGGAACCAGTGTGTTCGTGTTCTACATAACCCCTGAGGACCGACACACAAAGGGAGATCCTTTCAGTCCTCGGAAGTTGGGTCTTTTGTTGAAAACGGTCCTCTGTGGTAAGTTTGTGTGCTTAGTCTATGGGAGAGTGTTATATTATAGGGACAAAGGGAAACACAACACATTGTCCTCGAGAGTATAGTAAAACAAGAGTGGGTGCACACATGGTGTGTCTCCCCCACTGGAGTTCCTGAAAGTTGTCAAAAGCGTCATCTTCTTTTGGCACACAGAGTGAATTCAAGATAATCTCCCAAACAGAAAGTTGTGTGTCCCAGCAGTAGAGGAATCTATTATTTTGAAAAGTGAAGTAAACATCCAATTGCAACACATGCTTGAAATACTTATATCCTTGAAAAATCTGCCCGTCTGTTATCATGAACCATATTCTTATTTTGATATTTGAAAACTTTACTCTTGAAGTATCCCAGAGATTTAGAGTGAAATTACGGTAGGGTACCAGGCTAGAACACCTGCCATGCACTGTATTTTTCCAAACGCACATTTTGTGCTACTAGTGCATTCTAAACTGTATGTAGCAACTCTAAGTTGATTGTGGTTGGTCCTTTGAGGACCAATCTTATTTCCCCCTCTGGTAATATTGAATTCATTTTACATCCAAGTTGGAAGGGTATAGACTATTCAGAGTTGTAATGACTCGAGTCACTGACTCGACTCGAGTCCGACTCGAGTCACATTTTTGGTGACTCGACTCGACTCGAGTCCCTAAGGGTAAATGACTCGACTCGAGTCACTGCGAGCAATTGACTCGACTCGACTCGAGTCACTGCGAGCAATTGACTCGACTCGACTCGAGTCCCTCATCAGAAGACTCGACTCGACTCGAGCGAAGGCTAATAAGACTCGAGTCCCCAAAATAAAAGCAAAACTTTGCGAAAAGTATTTGCAATGATTACGGTGCAAAATTTATGCTCACTTCGCATTGCGAATAGCAGTCATGTACAAATATACAACGTGCCACTGACTCCCACCTCATGGTTCTAGAACGCACAAAATACTATCCAGGAACCAGATTTTTAAACACATTTTCTAATTCGCTGTTTCATCATTGGCTTTGGGCGATTTCTTATAAAGCCTCTTGGATTCGGACGCTGGTTAAACTTATGGCATCCTTTTATAAATTTTGGTATACAGTGTTCAAATATTCGTGACTCGAATTGACTCGAGCTAACTATTTGACTCGACTCGACCTTTTGACCTAATGACTCGACTCGACTCGAGTCACTTCTTTAAAATGACTCGACTCGACTCGAATCACTTCTTTAAAATGACTCGACTCGACTCGAGTCACAAAAATTAGTGACTCGTTACAACTCTGAGACTATTTGCATTTAGCAGCTATCATTGGAGGTAATTTGTATTCAATAGCAATGAATGCACTAATGGACAACTCATGTGTGCCCCTGAAAAACAAAAGCGCAGTCCTCAGAGATGGCTGCAGTGCAACGCATCTATTGTCATACACTGACGTCCAGCCCTTTGGTTTCTTGACAGTTAACTCATTTAGGGTTGACTTTTTATAAAATTTGGGTGAGGGGTTACCCTGAGTTAACAAAATATTTTCAATTATTGAATATTCAAATATTTGTTTATCAATGTCGATTTTGCTTTCATTCTTAGGACTTCTACAAAGCTTGTGTTGCGAGAAACCCAGTTGTAAACATTGCATGTGAGTACATGTATTCCAGAATCTAGTGCATCAGATAGTTTTGCAGTTATTTTGTATTGAACAAAAATGAGCATTAAACATTCTAAGGTACTTTTTATTTCTTTTTAAATGTGGAAAAAGTTCCTAGCTTTGTTGTAGTGAGATGATTTTTGTCGTAATTATTTGTTATAAAAATAATTAGGTCATCATAATTCATATTAATGGTGTGTTATTCATTTTCCACAGCAATGCTAGGAAGCACAGACATTCCCGATTGGTAAGTCTGGAGAAAAAACATTCTGAGCGGAATTTCCAGTTTAGGATTGTTTTGGAATTGCTCGTAATTGAAGGCCAAAAAAAAAATCTAAATGTGTGTGTCATAGGCTATCATGAATATAAAATGACTACATATAGTCCTACATCATCATCGTCAGTCAACTGCTCCGCAGTCGGTCACAATCTCTTTCCATCTGGCCTTATCTTAAGCAACAGAGGAGATATTTCTCAGTGTTAACTCATATCCCATGCTGATAAGCCTGACAATGTACTGGTTGTGAGACATCCGAGGGCGATCTCTTGTCTGTTTTCCATAAAATAAAATAAGTTAGAAGTATTACAGTGTTAGACAAGGTTAAGCAAAAAGTTCTCGAGGGTAAAATTACTTTTTTGATAAAGCATAGTCTCTATGCAGTTTTAGGCTACAATAAGGGAATAACAGTGTGAGGAGCCGGTCTCCACTGCGTGATAATGACCGGGTTTGGGGGTGACAGCTGTTAATGGACCGAGACGAAGTCGAGGTCCATTAACAGCAGTCACCCCATTAATAAATACCTTTTTAATAAATTAATAAATACCTTTTTAACGAAATAAACAGTTAAAATGCTTCAATTTTGTGACTTTCTTTCTGCGATATTTCCAGACTTGTTTGTGTTCATGTTCATGGGCCATATTTCAAAATATGCGTGGTACCCTGTCTCTTCAATAAGCGTTGTTATATACAACACAGCCGGGCCCAGGCTGCGCTGGACAACGTCTTCATTGCGTACGCGTACGATGTCCAGGGTTTGGACTTCTGCTGCCGTAGCAAAACAAATCACAACAATGTTTTCATATTTTTACCTGATGGAGGAAGCTGAAATTTCGTTTACACATTCCTTGTGTCCAAAATTACAAAGATGCTTGGTTTAGAAAAGGTAAATATGTCGATGGGTGAAGTGTTTAAAGAAAATAAATCGTAGATCTACGCTTGCGTCGTAAACATCCTCAGTATACTGCACTGCTGTACGATGTCGTTTTAAAACTTCCTTACATGCACCTACATAGCAACTGTGTTGCGTACGCGCGCAGCAGTCTCACGCGAAGGTGGTTGAGCGCATGTGCAGTGCTGTATTGTTACAAGTTGCCGTATGACTGTTGTAAATTTGGCCAATCATTGCCTTCCATGGGACTGGATCAATGCTGGTTCAGGGGCCATTTTTTCGCTTGTTCTTTGAAGCCGATCTTTATATCACCGTTAATACACCCCCACGTGATCGAGTCTCGACCAATCAGAAACCATCAACTCTCCAAGGTATTTATTAATAGGATTTATAAAATTAATACATTCTTCTTTTTTTCGTAGGAACTACTGTGAAGCTGGTGTGGGACCTTTTGAATTTGACAAGTTGCCATCTCCTGAAATTTACCAAGCTATGCTGAGTAAATCACCCATCATTCATGCCAACAAGGTACGTCTTAGCATCAGAGATTGTTGGCAACGAGCTTAGATGATTTATATTGTAGTTTGTCTTTATTAATTACTTGTAGGATGTATGTTCTTGAGTAAAACACTGTGTTAGAATGACTAGGTACTTGTATATAGGGTAGAGTATACAAATATATGCATTGGCTACTTCGAGTGATGTGGTAAAACTCTTGCTTGATTCAATTCAATTGGCTGACATCTGGACACCATCTGGTTTGAGGATGGTGATATCTGCTGAGTCAAGTCTTTTGATAAGAGAATCAAGTCAAATTGAGCCATTTGCTCACAGTGACTTGAGTGGAGTCGAGTCATTTGCCCGTTATGACTTGAATCAAGTCATTGAAAATTGTGACATAAGTCAGACCAGAGTGGAGTCTCTGACTAGAGTCATTTCGAGTCTGCAAAAAATTGAATATGGGAATGAGAAATGCTTTTAGGGGAAAAGAAATTCTTTAAAAATGTCCATGACTCAACATAGGATACTATATCTTTTCCATTTGTGGTTGTATGTATACAGCCTGTCTCAAAAAAAAATTATACAATCGAAAACGATTTTTTTTTTTCAATATTAAATCTCAACATAAGTAAGTCGTTTTGAACATCACATTAAAGAAAAAAGACCAGGCTTTCCAATACTTTTTGTTTCATCTCATTTGCTTTTGTCAATCCAGAGATAACTCCAGTTTACTGCGGAACACGAAAATGGAGTTTGTGCCACAGTAGTCGAAACAACTCTGCCCATGCATAAAAGTGGCACAAAATCGATTTTGGTGTATCGCACTAAATTGATTATATCTCTGAATTGACAAAAGCAAATAAGATCAAACAAACACTATTGGAAAGCCCAGTCTTTGTTCTTTAATATTATGCCAAGTAAGAATGACTTATTTTGAAATTTTATATTTAACCAATTTGTTTTCTGATTGTACCATTTTTTTGGAGACAGGCTGTAGATATGTAATTGTTGGGAATCTCCAGTAGGATGCATTTTAACCAGTAACAAGGATTATGATTTCTGATGCCATAGGTAAAGACACCTACCATGATTGTGATCGGTGATGTGGATCTACGAGTTCCTCCCAAACAGGGGCAGGAATACTACAGGGCTCTCAAGGCACATGGTGTCACCACAAAGTAAGTATGCAATATTGCATTGAAGTCAGTTTTTTAAAGAAGTTGGGGAATGCTCGAAGACATTTCCGTAATTTTTCAGGTAAATGTAACCCAAGGTGTGATGAAATAAAAACGACTATTGTGTCTGTCATGAAATGAGTACAAAAGGTACTTTTGAGAGCTGTTTTTCAGGTCCTGTTTCGACCCGAACGTGCAATTTGTGTAAAAGTCGTCGTTGGGGGCAGCAAACAAAACATAGTAAATCGTGACGTAATAAACAGGACTCGTTTATACTACGCTGCATCGGGAGTCCTGTTTATTACGTCACGATTTACTGTGTTTTGTTTGCTGCCCCCAACAACGACTTTTACACAAATTGCACGTTTGGGTCGTTTATACTACGCTGCATCGGGAGTCCTGTTTATTACGTCACGATTTTCTATGTTTTGTTTGCTGCCCCCAATGACGACTTTTACACAAATTGCACGTTCGGGTCGAAACAGGACCTGAAAAACAGCTCTCAAAAGTACCTTTTGTACTCATTTCATGACAGACATAATAGTCGTTTTTATTTCATCACACCTTAGGCTACATATACCCGAAAAATGACGGAAATGTTTCGAGCATTCCACAACCTCTTTAAGAATTCCCAGCCCACATAAAGCAGGATTGACTGCCTTGGACTGTTTTAGTAACTTGATACAGCTATGCGTTGACTCAGGGTGAGTGATAAAACAGTGTGACCACAACTTGCCTGTTTTGTCTGTTGACTTAGTTTGACAAGTCACGGTGCTTGCTTGACATGTGATCTGACTGCTGGTGACTAGCCTTTGTTAAAAGTACAGCAGGGGAAGTGGAGATGAATTTTGACTGTCTGTGACTCTTTAAATATAGCAGGAGGGTTAATGTTGAATTATGCCGTCAATGCCATATTTTTATTTTTTTCCTTTTCAGAATGTTGGTGTATGCAGGCAACTGCCATGGTCTGGCCAGAGTTGACGCAGAGTCTGATTGCTTCATGAATATGTATAAGTGGTTCACCTCATTTATATAAAAATGTTGCACCTTTCCTGAACAGCATTAGAAATTAACTGTCATACTGATAATTGAGTTTTTTTGTATCAAAAGTCAAGCTGGCTTAACGTGCGGACATTACGAATAATGATGACAAGTAAAGTGTTGATACTAACTATGCAATATGTATCGGTAGTTTGTGTGGGAATTGATCTTGTATTTTTTTTCCCTCACACCACATCTGAACTTGTTAGGCCAAAAAAAAAAAATATTCGGTCTCTGGTCAGCGCGCGCGTCGATTTTAATCATGCGTGTCAACTTTTTTTTTAACTTCAAATTAACACGGAAGCTACAACAGCGCCCTCTATTGCCGCGCCTCCTCAAATTTGTGTACCAAGGAGCACCAAGGAATGGGGAAATTGCACCAAGGCAAATGATAAAGGGCACCAAGGCAATTATGGAGGACACCAATGTATAATGAGGACACAAAAAAGCAAAATAGTACCCACCTTGTCTGTACAATACAAGCTTGAAAAAAAAAAGCCACCAAAAAAAAAAAAACCGTGTCGCCGCATCAATTCCGGAACTTCGGTCTGACCAGAGACTGACTATTTTTTTTTTTTGGGCCTTAGTACATTTTTTCTTTTACTCAAGGCAGGGGCTAATTTTACGCTCTGGAAACCATGAAATTCTGTACTTAATACCGGAATCAGAATCTTAAAAATACCGGACTCTTATAGAGCGCACGTATCTACCAACAATTAGGTACTCAAGGCGCTGGTAATTATGTCTATTTTTAAAGACAGGTAAATAAAGTTTATGAGAAACATGAGACCCATTATGTAGCACCTTTATAAAGGGTTTACATGGTGCTGCGGCGCATATTGCAGCCACTGCCAGAAACATTGGGGCAAACCCCTTCTCTTAGCGATGTGTAACTGGGTTCTTTAACGTGCATCACACAACACACGGGACCTACGGCTTTACATGCCATCCGAAGGAAGCAATAATGGTAAAGTGCCTTGCTCAAGAGCACAAGGACCATGTTCCCCGTCGTACCCATGTACCACGGATCACGAGTCGAACATCATAACCATTGGACCACAGCCCCCCATACTTATGACCACCACTTTAATGATCACAGAAATTCAGTGCTAATATGACCACGGATATATGCAGACTAAACTTGCCGCAATACAGAGAAGTTTAGTGAGAACCGCATGGTGCTCAATAGTTTTTGTTGTGCACCCTCGTTTAAAGATATGAATCATATTTGTAATGAGAAACTTCAACACTAGGATGTAAAATGTGACTTACGTGTTATTCACAGGGTTTCCGATGTATAGTAAGTAGGGCTAGAATTGTAGATGCCAAAGGTTAAGGGCTCTATGCACACACTATGTTTTAATGGTTGTTCCCCAAATTGTGAAGTTTCTATCTTTTTTAATGGAATCATATTGTCAACAAAAATATTTAGCTATTTCTGTTTGACTATGGAGATTATATGTATAGTTATTATTATTTTGTTTACAGAAAAGTAGTGGTTGATTATCCAATCAATTTTCATATGGGCGTAAATGGTCATTTTTTTTTTGGATGGTGGTGGTGGGGGGGGGGGGGTGTGTTACGAACCAAGTACATAAAGCAGAGCAAACTAGAACAGGCAGGTCTTCGGTACCAGCAGCAGCTGGACTGTTCAGGAAGGCCCACTTTCATGGTGCTGATTAGGCCCCAAAAAAATACTTCTGCTTCCAGTTTCCCTACGTACCCTATTCTGATAGCCCCTACCCTAATTTTTTTATGGGAAAAATGAAAAAACCCAAAACCATCAATTTCTACCTTTTACCCTTGACTACATGCAGACCCTCTCCATATGATCGTACACACACAAAAACTGGCCAAAAAAAAATCCCTACCTACCTACCCTGTTTTCAGATGCAATGTAATCGGAAGCAGAAGTATGTTTTTTTTGGGGGGGGGGGCTTTAACAGCAGAAAAGTTGTGCTAACTATAGCAGTAAATTGTGCTAACCTTAAGCACTATTTCATCGTGTGGATGTGCTAACATTTGCGCGTGCATGGAGATTCTTATTGTCACTTCACTTGGGGTTAAGCACGTGTGGAAGGGCCAAATTTAACTTGTATTTTTCCAATGTATTTTTGTATGCTTTAGTATAGGAGTAGCTCCCCTGCATAAATCACCTTTTTTATTTAGATGTCCCCTACCCTTTCATAGAAGTGTGTACCCCTGCTTAACTTTTCCCTCTTCCCCAGTAACATGATCTCTTAGAACAATAGCCCCTTTGATAAGACCATGCACATGTGCTCTGCCACCCTGTAAGACCACAGACCCCTCATGATCAGTAGCAGACCAGCGGCAGTAGAGAGAGGACCGTGCATTATATTTCCTCTCTTTCCCCCTTGATTTTCTTGGGTGCGATTTGCCCTGTTTGAGAGTTTATCTGCTCGAGTTATTGATTTCTGCCAGAAGTGTCTTTAAGGTCCACCTTATACCACACTGTGTTGGTTAAATACTGTTGGTTTTTAACTTGGTTAAAGTCCTTGGGTTTTTTTAGGTTTAAGTTTTGGTTTTTAGTCTTTGTTCTTACTTGATTTTCGTGGTCTTGGTTTTATATATTGTTAATCGAATGTTATCTGATTTCCATCTTTGTTTGCGTATGATGTTCTTGCGCGTTGCATGTAAAATACAAATTCATGCCATCTAATATCATTATGTTCTCCCGAAACACACATGATTTCAAAATGTCTGCTCGCAGAATGAGGAGTTAGCGCTCTAATTTAATATAGCTCTGTGGGTAAAACTTAAAAAGGCTTTTCAGATATGTGATGTAAAGTGAAAGATGATAATAGTCGGAGCTTACTGACCACAAGGTAAAGCCTTTGGTTCGCTTTGAATCCATCTCTCTTTTTGACATTGTTACTTCACATGGTAAAGCTTTTATCTTTTTCCAATGTAGACAGTCTTTGTCAAGGCTATATCCCAACTGACTTCCATTATTAGATGTAATGCCAAGAAATAGTGGATATTTTATCACGTCTCAGGGTTGCCGTTAGACATACGAGTTGCAAGTTACACAGGATTTTTTCAATTTACACAAAGTTCACTTTATTACATTTTAAAAACATATTGAATACAATAGTTTCAATTCAGGACAATACTGGTATCTCAAGTTAATATATACACAGCCAATAGTGCTTTTAAATAACAAATATTTTCCCTGTTCAAAAATATAAATAAAGTGTGTGTGATATTAAAATATTTCTTTGTACAAAGTGTTGTTTAAACCATCTTTATACAGGTGTATAGACATTTACTGGCCATGCTCATGTACTGATAAGCCTACATTGAGCTTTTGGGTCATAGACACAGGCATGAGATTTTTCAGACTTTTGTCTAAAATCAGACTTTTCAAATCTGAGAGAAAGACATTAATTCTATAGAAAGATAGCGATCTTTCAGACATTTCATAATTTTTTTGACTTTTTTTTTAAATTTACAATCTCATCCCTTTAGACAAAAGCATTAACTTAACTGTGAAGAAGTGAAAAGTCTATAGATCATTTGCACTGCAGCTATCTTAAGATAGTGTGTTTGCTGTTGTTCAACAGGGATAGGGTCCAATCGTATGACGTCACGTACCAAGTGACCATCCAGTTTCCCGTTATCAGCAACCATTGTAGTAGGCGTGCGTTTGGAATAGCAACCACGCCGTGCGTAGTAAAATACACAGTGGGGCTAATTTTCACATAAATTAATGGCAAATTCGTTACCAGAAGGCATAATAGTCACTACCCGTGCCGTGTAAGGTTGTCAATCACACAACCTAGTAATAAGTGTTGACTTCATGTTTTTCTCACAGTTTTGCCATCTCAGCTTTAAAGGCTTGCCTACTACACGTACCTACTGCGTTATGTGTGATCTTTGCCTACTACAATGGCGATGCTGACCTTCCGGTACCCTGAAGTACTGATCTCTATATAAAGACTGGATAGGGGATATGCATACAACATTCACACAGTAGACTTTGCATATTGACCAATTCGCCCCCGGTCTCACGAAGATGGCCGCGTATAATACGAACGTTCTACGCGTAAATACGCGCGCGTTGTATCAACAGTTGACGCGCATTTTGGTTACTTACACATATTATGATGTTCTAAAAGGGACACATTTCCGTAGTAATTATTATTTCAAAACGCCAAAAAAGTGATATTTGCGGCATTTTAGTGACCACGACGTTAAAAAATTGTAGTTAACCTTGGTCAGTGGTGGTGGTCAAAATATAAGTCAAGTGAACCGCGACGTTACAAAAGAAATCATGCTGTCTATAAAAACGGCAACTTGTCCTTTGTAGATCACCAGCCGGTCTCACCAATATGGCGTCAAATTCGATCATTGTGTGGCTCTTTATTAGCTATCCAGTCTTTATATAGAGATCAGTGCCCTGAAGTAGGCCAGGACACTTGGGGCACAGGAGTAGACTTCTAGTGCATTCATTGTTAATCAATTAACATAATCCACACCACAAAGATGGCCGCTATAAATGCAACTGATCTATCTCCTGGTGTATTTAAACAAACATTTCAGTATTTTAGGATTGAAAACTTTGTTATGGAATGTGAGTGCAAGTGCAATTTCTCAACAAGCATATATTTGAAGATGTAACAGTAGAACTTTGCTGTAGAACTTTACAGCCCATTGATGTGACACCATGTGACCATGGGCGTTGCGAGGGGGGGGGGGCAAGGGGGACAAGGCCCCCCCCCCCCCCCCGAAAAAAAGGGAAAAGAGGTGCGAAGCCATATTACTCTTAATTTGATGGGGGGGGGGGCCAAATGCTCCCCTGCTCACACTCGGAAAAATGATAAATTGAGAATATAATGAAAAAGTTAAGGAACTTTTTTGGGGAAAAATTTGCTCCCCCCCCCCCCCATGTGCATGTGACAGGCTCTCAACCAATACAAATTGCTAAACTGAGCTCATGGATATTCATTTGCATGTGGACAGTGGATCATCAATTCTCAACTTTCAAAAGGGAAACTAGCACAATTTCAACATTTGATTTTCTACTGCACAGTTACACCCACGTCCTAGGGCAAGTTTATGTAGCACACCTTGCATAACTTGGCAGACATCAACTATTTGCACTTTCGTTTCAAATATTTTTTTTTCTTCAAAACTAGCTACACACGCCACCACAATCCTAATTGTCAAATCCTCTAAATACATGTGAATCACTGATATTTTCTAAAATTT